CTTTGTCAGAATCAACAGTGGCCATTTAGAGCTCAAGGACAACCTCCCTGCCAAATCTGAGGTTATTAAGCCAGTGCATTGCTAAGTTATGTATTCTACATGCTTCAAATGTGAAAATGTCAAAATCAATACATTGCGGACAGGACATTCTTTAGCAATTGAGAAGAAAAGCTTTTTTTTTTGTCAAGGTCCCTGTGACCTTGACCTTTGACCCAGTGACCTCAAAATCAATAGGGGTCACCTTATAGTCATGATCAACATCCATGCCAAATATGAAGACTGTGGGTCAAAGGAATCTTAAGTTAATGGGTGGACAACTTTTTTGAAGTCAAAGTCCCCATGACCTTGACCTTTGATCCAGTGACCTCAAAATCAAAAGAGGTCATCTACTAATCATGATCAACAACCATGCCAAATATGAAGACTGTGGGTCAAAGGAATCTTAAGTTATTGGGCGGACAAGCTTTTTGAAGTCAAGGCCCCTGTGACCTTGACCTTTGACCTGGTGACCTCAAAATCAATAGGGGTCATCTACTTATCATGACTAGCCTCCATGCCAAATATAAAGACTGTGGGTCAAAGGAATCTTAAGTTATTGGGCAGACAACTTTTTTGAAGTCAAGGCCCCTGTGACCTTGACCTTTGACCTGGTGACCTCAAAATCAATAGGGGTCATCTACTAATCATGATTAATCTCCATGCCAAATATGAAGACTGTGGGTCAAAAGAATCTTAAGTTATTGGGCGGACAAGCTTTTTGAAGTCAAGGCCCCTGTGACCTTGACCTTTGACCATGTGACCTCAAAATCAATAGGGGTCATCTACTAATCATGATTAACCTCCATGCCAAATATGAAGACTGTGGGTCAAAGGAATCTTAAGTTATTGGGCGGACAAGCTTTTTGAAGTCAAGGCCCCTGTGACCTTGACCTTTGACCTTGTGACCTCAAAATCAATAAGGGTCATCTACTAATCATGATTAACCTCCATGCCAAATATGAAGACTGTGGGTCAAAGGAATCTTAAGTTATTGGGCGGACAAATTTTTTGAAGTCAAGGCCCCTGTGACCTTGACCTTTGACCTGGTGACCTCAAAATCAATAGGGGTCATCTACTAATCATGATTAACCCCCATGCCAAATATGAAGACTGTGGGTCAAAGGAATCTTAAGTTATTGGGCGGACAAGCTTTTTGAAGTCAAGGCCCCTGTGACCTTGACCTTTGACCTGGTGACCTCAAAATCAATAGGGGTCATCTACTAATCATGACTAACCTCCATGCCAAATATGACAACTGTAGGTCAAAGGAATCTTAAGTTATTGGGCGGACAAGAAAAAAACCGACGGACGGACGGACGGACGGCCGGACGGACGGACAAGCTGATTCCAGTATACCCCCCTTACAACTTTGTTGTGCGGGGGTATAATAAGCTAACCTACCAAGACAAAAGTCTTGTGTGACTGCCTTGTATAAAAAGGCTAGCAGTTTTTAGAGTTAAAACTGCCAGCAAATATTTTTCAATTTTCAAACTGGGCAGTCAATGTATTGCTCAGCTTTCGGTTTGGCACTGTAAAACATTTTCAACTGGAAAATAAAGTAAAATGTATAATATATAAACATTAATTATCAAGAAAAAAAAACTTATTTATAACAAAAATACACCTGAAAATACTTGCAGTAAGTTATAACATATGTACATTATAGAAAAACTATTCTCATTTGAGCCGCGTCATGACAAAACCAACATAGTGGGTTTGCGACCAGCATGGATCCAGACCAGCCTGCGCATCCACGCAGTCTGATCAGGATCCATGCTGTTCCCTATAAGTTTCTCTACTTGTAATAGGGTTTGAAGGCGAACAGCATGGATCCTGATCAGACTGCGCGGATGGGCAGGCTGGTCTGGATCCACGCTGGTTGCAAACCCATTATGTTGGTTTTGTCGTGACGCGGCTCATTTCTGTTTCACACATATCCAAACAATAATTCTATCTAAACTAATTAAACAGTGTGAACATAAAGGTATTTCAAAGGCTATTACAAATTGACTGTTAGAATTTTTTCCAAGTATTTTTCACTGCAACCAACTAAAAAATTCAAAACCCTGCCCTTTCAAATGATCTAAATGTTTTCATCAAAATTGAAAAATATGCCCACATTTAAATTCTAGCAATTTATTTGTAAACACCTTTCTTTTCTTTTTGTCTCAAAAATACAGGTATATAAAGAGTATTTCTTGTGAAGTCAAGAAAATATTTTGGAAGATGCATTTTGTCTTAAAATGCTGAAAAACAAAGAAAGAATCAAACATAATTCAAACTTCCAAGCTATTTTCATGACTTCTGCATTTTTTTAAGAGTACAAATTTGCACCAACTTTTCAATAATAGTATTCGGATCACATTTCTGTAAAATAAATTTTCAAAATATCAATAATTGGACAAAATAATTTTTCAAAACATTGAAAGAATTGTGGTAATTTTCAACATATCAACTTTTAACGTTTTGAAATCAAAAATGTTAAATGCAACATTTCAAAAAACTATAAAGGCATTCAAATATTAAAAAACATTTTTACAAAACATTTTTTTTTTTTGTATTTTTTTTTTACTATATAGATATAATCTTTTAAAACACCAAACTGGAATTTGACAAGAAAACATGAACACTAAATTACATAATAATATAGTAAATGAAAATGAAAAAATCGTTGTTAATATGCTAAAACTAGATTGTCGGGATGTGCTTTCAAAAATTGTGCTCGAAAGTTTTCTTTCCTTTCCGACACACGAGAATGCTGACAACTCAAAAGGAGCAACGCACTATTTTTAGGGTGTTTTCCCTTTTTCTTTGTTAAAAAATGGGGAAAAAACCCCTTCTTTAAACAAACAATTAAAAAACTATTTGGGGGGGCAACTTTGGATTAATTTTTTAAAGTCACTGAGTTTAAAAACAAAACAGTTTTAAATTTTATATATATTTTGGACCCGCTTTTTCTCTAAACCCACCCATGGCAATAATTTTATATAAAAATAGAAATGGCAAAACCCATGTGAAAAGAAATAAAAAATTTAAAAAAATGTAAAAACAACTTTTGATTAGATTTCAAAAAAAAAAACAGGGATTTAAAAGTTTTACAACCCTTTATATTTAAAATTGTCCTCGCCGAGGTTTACAAGCAAAATCTGGGATAACTTTTTAAAATTATGAAAAAATTTTAAAAATTGTTTTTTTGATTCTATTAAAAATAATAATAAAAAAATCAGGACTAATGGAAAAAGGAAAAAAAATACAAGATAAACAAACAAAACAAAATACACAAAAGTTATTGGTCAACATTCTAAACAGTGATTTAATGTAAAGCCTTATTTAACTATGAACACTTAAATAATAGAAGGAAAAATCAATAATCCATAAGGCACAGCAAAAAAGGTCATGTTATAACGAAACTGAGTATAAATGACTAGACAAATAAGCATGGGCCGCATATAACTAGTGAAAGGCCTGAAGTTTTCCGTTCATTTTCTGAACAGAGTTTTTCTCTGTCAAATCTATAGTAACCTTGCTAAAGACTTGGTCCAAGATATTCAGAAGTTTATAAAAACCATTTCAACTTTTTCCAAGAAATATTATTTCTTTATTTCTACTTCTTCACTTTCATAAAACTGCCAAACTGTAAAAAAATCTATTTCTATTCACCGAAGACATTTTTTCATTATTTCTATCAAACTTATTTCTACCAAAACAGAGATTTTAAACTAAGGCATTAGCCATAAATTCCTCTCGGAGAAAATCCCAATAAAAAAAATGTACCAATTATTTGGTAATTTACTGAAATGTGACGTCTAATAGTTTGTATAGAAAAGCCATATAAATTAAAACCAAGTTGCAATAAAATACCTGTTTTCCCTGTCATACAAGTCTTTCTTAAAAATAAAGGTGATAAAAATATAAACACTTTTTTAAACTTATCGGCTATGTTGGTATTTGATATAAGCTAAAGAATTAAAAATGTTTTACTCTTAGATTGGCTACGGACACAGAGGCACAAGCTCTGTATTGTTATATGTGAACGCACAAAAAATCAAAATTCTTCGTTTTTTCTCTTCTTTTAATTGGTCAATTTTCACCGATTAAATTTCCTTTGTACTAATTTTAATCTTTCAGTAAGTGCTTAAACCTCTGCTATGTTTCTTTGCATTTGTTTACATACATTCTTAGCAATTTAACCTTGTACTCCAATGATTTCATACTTGATCAGCTGTGAATAATTTGACAGCTTTTGATGTGTTCAACTTACAAAAAATAAAACAATAAGTTGGAGAAATATATATGGCAAAATTTCAAACTGTTTCTAAAACTATTAAACAGACAGCTATGGAGCATCTCTCACCATTGTGTCAGGACTGTCATTCCAACAGTGTTACGGTTATATTATGTTAGGCAAACCTTCTCTTCCATTCAATGTGACCCAACTACAATCGATTGCTTTATTTCAACAATCGTATTTTGATAACCTTTAAATTATCAGTCAGCGCTTCCATTTACAAAGTAGGATAAAACTCTCACATATATTAATTAGGACATAATAAAACATAGATGTTAGACCTAAACCTTAATTGCGCGCACATATAAAACAATACAGAGCAAATCAACTGTCAAACACTTCAAGGCCTTTCTGTGCTCTGGATACTAATAATACACAATGCTAAAGTATTAAAACATAAGCTGTAAAATCAACAAGTATATAAACAATTGCTACCCTAATCCACTTTTAAACTGTTTTTCAGCAGTTCAAAATAATATAAATCATTTTTCAACCATACTAATTTGTTAAAGTGCACTATTTATATAATATAAAGTAATAATAAAAAATTATCATAATATATAATTTGTAAACAATTGCATCTTAGGGTGAGATTACAAATTAAACAAAAAATGTTATCATTGCTTACACTCAAAAAAAATTCATGTTAACATACTTTTTTTTGTTAATTTGATTTCTTTTTTTTATTAAGTAAATTAAATGTATATATCATATACTGAATACTGAAATTTGTAATGATATATGTATCACACACAGAAGCATATCAGCCATTGATCCATCTCAAAAAAAAGTTATGATTCCCCAAGGATTTGTACTCATGTAAGCAACTATATGAATATTGAATCTAAGTAAAATAAACACTATGTATATATGTATACTGTTTTTTCAAACTTTGGATACAAAATAACCGGATATCTGCATATGTATGTCACAAAGTTAGCTTATATAAGAATTTTAGTGTCTTTTTTTCTCACAAAGATAGAGCATCACGGCAGCAAAACCCACTACAGTGAAGCCAGATCCTATCTTTGCATCTGTTAACTTAACAAACAAAAAAATCATAACAATCCAAGATTTATCTAGCAAGTTAGTGGCCAATCACAGCAAAGGATTCGCTTATACTTTAAAATTATGTAACATAAATAAATTGATAAGGTTACTTATGTCTGTTACAAAATGCCACCATAAAAATGGGTACATGTATGTATCAAAGTTGACTTGAAATATTTTTAAGTAGGAAGCTTTTTCTATCCTAGACTTTCTTCAATGTAGACTCAAACTCAGCTTAGCTGATATAAAGGGTGTTCAATACCAGCACATGATGATTATTCTTGGCCAGTGTGACAACATAACCTTCCGATGTTATCTTCAGCCCACAGCATCGGCTTACTTTTACATATGGGCATTCAAACTCTCCAATAAGGGAACCATCGCGCTGGAACACGGCCACATGGAACCGGTTACCATGACTATCGCCAACCAAAACATCTCCTGCATCGCTGATGTCGATACCATTAGGGTAGTTGGTGATGTTCTCACATCCAATACGACGCTGAAAGTGACCCTCCTCATTGAACACAACCACACAGTGGCCCTGCAATCATAAAATATTATGTTTCATTACCACTGCCCAGGCTCTAAAACATCTCGTATATTCAACAAGTGGAGTAACACGGTGGTCCTTCTACAGTGTAATAGTAAATTATCTCTGAATGACTTCCCTGTATCTTGCTTCTGGGAATATGTGCACTATTTTATGTCATTAAGAATCTACTCAGTGGTTCTCAAGTTGTGAAATGTCAAAATTTATAATGATCTCTTTGAAATAAATGGATGGCCCATATTGATGTTTCAATCAAAGGTCGATGTCTCAAACACATGCAAAATCATTCAATGCTTTTTTACCTGTTTTTACTTAAAATTAAAAAATCTCACCTTGAAATCACAAACAAAGTACTCTTTGCCACTAATGGCAATATCTGACGGTTCCCTCATATAGTCACTGCAGTCAAACCATTTGATCAGCTCCCCACCTTCACTGATAACAAACACTGTGGGTGATACACTGTCAACAGCCACAATGTTACCTGAAACATCAGTTTTCATTATAATTGACTTATTTCAAGACAACAGAATCCAAAATTTCTTTTCATTATTACACAAGTCATTGAAAGGCACCTTGACATAAGCATGAACATTACAAAAGCAATCTGGATGGCATATTCACATAACAAATATGAACAAGCATGATCTCTAGCCGCATGGGTTCAAACCCAGTCAGGAGCATGTTGTTGTTTCCTTGAGCAAGAAACTTTACACTCATTGCTCTGTACTGGTTGGTTCCAGGAACGGATTTGAAAGTCCTACACAATCAAACTAAAATAAATTCTGTATAAACCAAATATGATTTTCAAACTTTGATAGATGGTGCAAATGTTTTAATTCACTCATCCATAGTAAAGCTCATGGGCTAAATGAAATGGTCTTTCAAACATAACTATCATTTAATTAAAATCAAAAAGAAAGCCTTTTATGAACTGATATACCTTGGCTTGTGATGGCAAGACCAGCAACAATATCAATGTAACGGATTGCAATCTTCTTCACAAAGTGTCCGTTCTTAGTGAAAATCTGCATCCTTGATCTTTCGTTGCCTCTGTCACACACAATGAATTTTCCAGAGTTTCTCATCACAGCAACTTTCCTTGGGTACCATAGTTGACCCTCCTCTCGACCTATTCACGAAAAAGGATTATTAAAAACATTTCAAATTTGAAATATCAAACAGTCCTTTTCACCAAATGACAAAGTGAAATGATTATTAAATCTCCATTTTGGTTAAGTTTCACCAGGTTATATAAATAATATACATGTACAACCTTAGATAAATATAAAGCCATGAATGAATAAAGAAACAAAAATTCTTTAAACTGTGACACTAATTTCGTCTCTTTTTTTGTTTTTATTTCTTTTTCTTCTGGAATCTGTCTTTTCAAGAATGATGGAAATATTCAGGGGTTATATAATGGTGTGTCACAGTCTGGACTTCCTTTCTTCTCAAAAGCATTTCATACATTTATTAACCCTGTAGTTGATGGATTTCAATTGTTTCAGATATAAAACACTTCCTCACTGTCCATTTGGAACAGGTCTGTGAATTTATCATCATCAATAAAGGTTAATATTTGCTATATAATGAATAATTCATCTCCCAGTGTTAATCATTGTAATAATTATCTTGACCGAAGAATAAAACAGTCATGGATCCTCTTCTTTACATTATAAATTTAATCTGCCTTGACTGAACACACAACTTAGCGGTTATGTTAGGAGCCTTATTATGCAAGGGCCCTCACCCTTAGACACAGGTCTTCCCATGCATCCATACAAATATCAAGCCATATGAAACAGAAAACTTGTCAAAAACAGCAAAACTTTTCTATTTTTTAAATTGCATTTTACATGTTTTGAGTGGGAATTTTTACCTCTGTTAGTGGGATGTGTGACTGCAGCCGGATTTGGTAGATTGAGGGCTCTGTATTATCAATTATTTTGAGTCAAGAAGAATGATTTTATTTTAGGCTCTAACTCACACTCATCATAAATATGGAAAAACTTGATCAAAAGGCACTCAAAATAAACCTGGATTTCATTTATCATACATTATTTCAGACATAAACACAACCTCACTGTAAATTCAGAACAGGTCTGTGAATTATCATCATTAATGTTGACACACTTGTCAAAAACACTAAACATAAAGTTGACTTTCATTCACTATAAATTGTTTCAGATATAAAACACTACCTCACTGTACATTCAGAACAGGTCTGTGAATTATCATCATTAATGTTGACACACTTGTCAAAAACACTAAACATAAAGTTGACTTTCATTCACTATAAATTGTTTCAGATATAAAACACTACCTCACTGTACATTCAGAACAGGTCTGTGAATTATCATCATTAATGTTGACACACTTGTCAAAGGCATTAAACATAATACTCATTTTCATAAATCATGAATTATTTCAGATATAAAACACTATCTCACTGTTCATTCAGAACAGGTCTGTGAATTATCATCATTTATATTGACACACTTGTCAAAGGCATTAAACATAATACTCATTTTCATAAATCATGAATTATTTCAGATATAAAACACTATCTCACTGTTCATTCAGAACAGGTCTGTGAATTATCATCATTTATATTGACACACTTGTCAAAGGCATTAAACATAATACCAATTTTCATAACTCATGAATTATTTCAGATATAAAACACTACCTCACTGTTCATTCAGAACAGGTCTGTGAATTATCATCATTTATATTGACACACTTGTCAAAGGCATTAAACATAATACCAATTTTCATAACTCATGAATTATTTCAGATATAAAACACTACCTCACTGTTCATTCAGAACAGGTCTGTGAATTTATCATCATTTATATTGACACACTTGTCCAAGGCATTAAACATAATACTAATTTTCATAACTCATGAATTATTTCAGATATAAAACACTATCTCACTGTTCATTCAGAACAGGTCTGTGAATTTATCATCATTTATATTGACACACTTGTCCAAGGCATTAAACATAATACTAATTTTCATAACTCATGAATTATTTCAGATATAAAACACTATCTCACTGTTCATTCAGAACAGGTCTGTGAATTATCATCATTTATATTGACACACTTGTCAAAGGCATTAAACACAATACCAATTTTCATAACTCATGAATTATTTCAGATATAAAACACTACCTCACTGTTCATTCAGAACAGGTCTGTGAATTTATCATCATTTATATTGACACACTTGTCAAAGGCATTAAACATAATACTAATTTTCATAACTCATGAATTATTTCAGATATAAAACACTACCTCACTGTTCATTCAGAACAGGTCTGTGAATTATCATCATTAATGTTGACACACTTGTCAAAAACACTAAACATAAAGTTGACTTTCATTCACTATAAATTGTTTCAGATATAAAACACTACCTCACTGTACATTCAGAACAGGTCTGTGAATTATCATCATTAATGTTGACACACTTGTCAAAAACACTAAACATAAAGTTGACTTTCATTCATTATAAATTATTTCAGATATAAAACACTACCTCACTGTACATTCAGAACAGGTCTGTGAATTTATCATCATTAATATTGACATTCTTGTCAAAGGCAATAAACATAAATCTATTTTTCTTTCATTATAAATTATTTCAGATATAAAACACTACCTCACTGTACATTCAGAACAGGTCTGTGAATTATCATCATTAATGTTGACACACTTGTCAAAAACACTAAACATAAAGTTGACTTTCATTCACTATAAATTGTTTCAGATATAAAACACTTCCTCACTGTACATTCAGAACAGGTCTGTGAATTATCATCATTAATGTTGACACACTTGTCAAAGGCATTAAACATAATACTCATTTTCATAAATCATGAATTATTTCAGATATAAAACACTATCTCACTGTTCATTCAGAACAGGTCTGTGAATTATCATCATTTATATTGACACACTTGTCAAAGGCATTAAACATAATACTCATTTTCATAAATCATGAATTATTTCAGATATAAAACACTATCTCACTGTTCATTCAGAACAGGTCTGTGAATTATCATCATTTATATTGACACACTTGTCAAAGGCATTAAACATAATACTCATTTTCATAAATCATGAATTATTTCAGATATAAAACACTATCTCACTGTTCATTCAGAACAGGTCTGTGAATTATCATCATTTATATTGACACACTTGTCAAAGGCATTAAACATAATACCAATTTTCATAACTCATGAATTATTTCAGATATAAAACACTACCTCACTGTTCAGTCAGAACAGGTCTGTGATTTTATCATCATCAACATGGACAACGACAAAACTAGAAATGTGTCCATAGGACACGGATGCCCCCACACGCCACTGTTCTGTCAATCTTATGACTCTAGGTCAAACATTTTTTGGACTACATGTGCCACAAGTTGAAAACTAAAAATCAACAAAGGGCCATAATTCTGTTAAATTTGGTCGCAGCAAAAATTCCTTCCTTTAATACCATCTACACATTAAGGTTGTTAATCCCTGGAAGTTTAAGCAAAATCTGCCATCCGGTTAAAGAGGAGTTGCGTTCAGAAAATTTCCACATAGTATATTGTGAAAAAATCAATAAAGGGCCATAATTCTGTTAAATTTGGTCACAGCAAAAATTCCTTCCTTTACTACCAGCTACACATTAAGGTTGTTAATCCCTGTAAGTTTAAGCAAAATCTGCCATCCGGTTTAAGACGAGTTGCATTCACAAAATTTCTACATATTATATAGTGAAACTAGAAATGTGTCCATAGGACACGGGTGCCCCCACCGTGCCACTGTTCTGTCAATCTTTTTACTAAGTCAAGGGAAATAACTCTACAAATACTGGATAAATCCACAAGTGAAACCCGAGGTGCAAATCTAAATATGCTGAGCAACCTGCCCATAAGGTTTAATGACTATGTCAAATCCTTTTTGAGTAACTTGCGACACAAGTTGAAAATTGCAAAATTTTCTAAGTGAAGGGCAATAACTCTAAAAATACTAAATAAATCCAGACGAAAATACCCAGGTGCACAACTACACATGCTGATCAATATTCCTGTAAAGTTACATGACTCTAGGTCAAATACTTTTTGAGTTACATGCGACACAAGTTGAAAATTGCAAAATTTTACTAGGTCAAGAGCAATTACTCTGAAAATACAAAAAATATCCACACGAAAATACCCAGGTGCACAACTACACATGCTGATCAACATTCCTGTAAAGTTTCATGACTCTAGGTCAAATACTTTCCGAGTTACGTGCGACACAAGTTGAAAATTGCAAAATTTTACTAAGTCAAGGGCAATAACTCTGAAAATACTAAAAATATCCACACAAAAATACCCAGGTGCACAACTACACATGCTGATCAACATTCCTGTAAAGTTTCATGACTCTAGGTCAAATACTTTCCGAGTTACGTGCGACACAAGTTGAAAATTGCAAAATTTTACTAAGTCAAGGGCAATAACTCTGAAAATACTAAAAATATCCAGATGAAAATACCCAGGTGCACAAGTACACATGCTGATCAACATTCCTGTAAAGTTTCATGACTCTAGGTCAAATACTTTTTGAGTTAAGTGCGACACAAGTTGAAAATTGCAAAATTTTACTAAGTCAAGGGCAATAACTCTGAAAATACTAAAAATATCCACATGAAAATACCCAGGTGCACAACTACACATGCTGATCAACATTCCTGTAAAGTTTCATGACTCTAGGTCAAATACTTTTTGAGTTACATGCGAAACAAGTTGAAAATTGCAAAATTTTACTAAGTCAAGGGCAATAACTCTGAAAATACTAAAGATATCCACACGAAAATACCCAGGTGCACAACTACACATGCTGATCAACATTCCTGTAAAGTTTCATGACTCTAGGTCAAATACTTTTTGAGTTACATGCGACACAAGTTGAAAATTGCAAAATTTTACTAAGTCAAGGGCAATAACTCTGAAAATACTAAAAATATCCACACGAAAATACCCAGGTGCACAACTACACATGCTGATCAACATTCCTGTAAAGTTTCATGACTCTAGGTCAAATACTTTTTGAGTTACGTGCGACACAAAAGTGAACGGACGGAAGGACGGACAAGGGTAAATCTAAATGCCCGCCACTAACGTCGGGGCACAAAAATCAACAAAGGGCCATAATTCTGTTAAATTTGGTCGCAGCAAAAATTCCTCCCTTTACTACCATCTACACATTAAGGTTTTTCATCCCTGTAAGTTTAAGCAAAATCTGCCATCGGGTTTAAGAGGAGTTGCGTTCACAAAATTTCTACATAGTTTATAGTGAAAAAATCAACAAAGGGCCATAATTCTCTTAAATTTGGTCGCAGAATTGAAAATTCCTTCCTTTACTACCATCTACACATTAGGGTTGTTCATCCCTGTAAGTTTAAGCAAAATCTGCCATCCGGTTTAAGAGGAGTTGCGTTCACAAGATTTCGGGACGTACGGATGGACGGACAAGTGCAACGCTATATGCTCCCACATTGTGGGGGCATAAAAATAAAACTTTCTTTCATTATAAATTATTTCAGATATAAAACACTACCTCACTGTTCATTCAGAACAGGTCTGTGAATTTATCATCATAAATATGGATCACTTTTAATGGAACATTAAACTGGTTTTCATTCATCTTTAACTAGAAGAGGTTTATGTCACAAAAACATGTCTCCCACAACTACATATGGTACTTATCATTCCTGTGAAGTAAGGTCAAAATCTCGCCAGTAGTTTGACCGGTGAAAAACGCACAGGATTTCTTTTATTTACAGCTGTGGTGGCCATCTTAGGCAGTGCAGCGGAATGTGCCGATGATATGTACAACTAGTGAGGGTACTTATCACTCCTGTGAAGTTCGGTTTAAAGCCCCCACAAGAGTTTGACCTGTGAAAGCTGGACAAGCTGAATGCATAAAGACAGCGACGGCAAAAATAATATCTCGCAAAATTTTTGGGAGTCATAATTATTTCAGATATAAAACACATCCTCACTGTACATTCAGAACAGGTCTGTGAATTTATCATCATTTATATTGACACACTTGTCAATTAACTTAACATAAAACTGGTTTTCATTCATTGTGAATTATTTCAGATATAAAACACTACCTCACTGTTCATTCAGAACAGGTCTGTGAATTTATCATCATCAATATTTCAGGTTTGGTTTGAATTAATTCAGCATGTATCTATTCAGATATAAAACTCTGCCATCATGCAGATTAAAATTATATGACCATTATTTTAACTAACCTGGTATTCCAAACTGATATTTGAATTCGCCAGTCTTTTCAAACACCTGCACACGGTGGTTGTTTGTGTCCGCAACTATGATGTCTTCCTCACTACCAAGACAGAAGCCATGAGGCGAGTTAAACTGACCTTTTCCAGGTCCAAGCTGACCAAATTTACACCTGAAGTTACATTCACAGAATATTATATATGTATTTTCAAATACAAGATCTAACTGACAATCAAATCAGCCAAAAACACACAATTACTTATTTTCTTCAACTGTTACTGTTTAATTTATTCAATAAAAAAATTTAATTAAGTTACAATTTCAGACAATCCCGCAAAAATTTGTAAATAAACTGCTGCCTTTCCTTTTTTCATTTACTATTGTTGTCTCACTTTCAAATAAATATCAAATACAAGTCTAGAACATCATTTTATCCTGAAGTATATACCAATTAACTGTACTTACCTGATCTGCATAGCACTCATTTTGTTGGCTCTTCTGACAGGTGGTCCTGTTGTCATATTCATCATGCCACTCTGGTTTGAACCAATCGTGTTCATTGAACTTGTGCTGTCACTTAGCCCACCTACAGTAGTTATATCATCATCTGTTTATAAATCATCATTACACATATATTAACATCATATTACAGTCATTTGTTAGGGTTTTATATCAAGTTTTTTTTCCCTTAGACTGAGGGTCTCAGCTGTAGGTGAGTATTTCTCAGTAATTGTTTAGAATTCTTGAAGACTATTATTTATGCCAAATTGTAAACAAATGATCCATCAAAAACTGGTAGTTATAGGTCCAGACAAAAATGTAACAAATCACAATGGTATCATATGCGACTGATACAACGAGAGGCTGATAAATGTTGATGCTACTGTTCCTTAACTAGATTGGCATTACAGGGCTCTTTTTCCTTCTTTAGCAGGGGCCGTTGTACGGCTGCTTCTCAAAGAAAAATTCTTTAAAATCATGCAATTTTCCCCAAAAACTATGCTTACATCAAGTTTTTCTTCCCCTTTTGCAAATATACCATGAAATTTCTCCCCAAAATTAAGAGCAGGACTGCTTCCCCAACTTGTGAAAAAAAGTCCTGACCAAGAAACTTCCATTTTGGCAAGTTAAAAATTGTAATATAATTGTAAAATAGACAAATGAAGTAAAAGGTACTCACAAGTTGGTGTAAGAGTCCCAGTATTAGGTGTTATGTTTCCTCCACTTGCACCAAGTCCAAAAGTTCCCAAAGCCTCCATATTTCCAGTATCCAACACACTCGAATTATTACGATTCAACAGGCCAGCCAATGTCTCAAGATTGGGTGTTTGTGGTCTGTTATTTGATGGCATACCTACTTCAGATATAGGGGTTGGACCACGGCTAGAAACTGGTGGCATACCAGAAATGTTGCTCATGTTCAATCCTGGCACAACATGTCCATTAATGGTGACTTGACCTATACATACAAAATCATCCAACTTTAATTTAAGATAACCACACAAAATTGCTTAAACATCCTGAAAATAGGTAAATCTACTGTTCTGACTAATCATTAGAGAAGTTAATAAAGAATCTTAAAGAATCTAAAGAAACGGAGTACCAGGCTTTAAATGAAAAATAACAGTCTTTCAAGTTTTCCTCTTGAAAATTATACACAAACATTCTAGTAAAGTTATTTGCTACATATACTATGATATCATTTTGTTTGCATATTCATTTAATATCATTAAAAAGAATATATATATTGAAAATTCATTAATCTGCATCTATAAGGAACAGAACACAGAGCAACAGATAAGGCGCGTATTTGCGTATTTACGCAATAAATTTTATAAAATACGCAATTGATTTTTTAAGAATGCGTATCTAAACCCATTAAAAAAATTAAAATACGCAATTGTCTTAAAAACCTGTGCGTATTGTCATTTTCATCACCGCAAAATTAATCTGTTGTACACTCGTAGTTTTGGACAAATTATATCGATATGCATGATATCCGAATATTCCCAAATCAATGCCAACTTATCAACGGTCTCCGGTCTTCGACGGTCCCCGGTCTCCAAAGACCGACTAAGCATGAGACCGTCGATTTGTCTACTCAGGTTGACGGTCTTTACAGACCGGCAGAGACCGTTGATTTTGCGGAGACCGTCAATAAGTAGGTCCCAGCTGTAACAATAGACGCTTTGAAAAGCAATATGGCGTCGTACAAAAGAACAAAACAGTCGCAAATAATCAAAAATCAGTCAGATAACGAACTTGTTAAAAATATTATGAAATATAACAGGAGCATTTTATATAAAAATAAAACAATTGTGAAAAGTTCTAGTAAATTGTTCATCCTATTTTCTTTTTAAAACAGTTAAGATATCTAAATTTAATTTTATTGATATTGAAACCATAAAATACATATCTTCATAATTGAATACCCAATTGATCTTGTAATCATAGGGTATCGAGTTTTTGAATACCCAATTAAATGGAGCCAATACCCAATTCCAAAGGAAATGATGGAGTAATACCCAATTCACTTTTAAAGCTTATCTGTTGCTCTGGAACAAATACTAACTTTATAAACTAGGAACACATTTTTTAAATAATTAAACCAATGACACTGCAGATTAATGAGATACAAATTATAACTTATTAATCTAACTTTAATGATCCATACTTAGATAACAATTCTTTATATGCTTGTTTGATAAAAAAACAACCAAAAAAAACAACCAAAAAAAATTCAGTTTTTTTAAGCATGCTCCTAAAAATTAGTAAAATGTTCTTAATTAAAACAGTTATTTTCTGTGACTGGTAACACAAGTCGTGTTGGTATACTAATAACCTTGCAATTAGAATGTAAATATACAATTATCTTCCCCTTTTACCTGACCAACTTGCAGGTTTATAAACATACAAATCTTCAAGCTTTGATTATACTCAAATTAAGAAACATGCTTCAGACTGTATTGTTCTTAGTCTTAATATCTAAAGTACTTCATCCATTTTGACCTATCAAATCAAACTTTTTTTCTGTCATTATAAATTCATAGTATCACAAAAAGTAACAAGTAATGTGACACTGAATAAGACAGACGACTGCATTTAAATTAGCTATATTGGATGAAATACCTTAAATAGGTTATCTATTGGATTCAAATAAAAACAATGAAAGCAAGTTCTATAACTACTAAATATAACTACAGCACTGTAAAGTCATTTATTTCCATGCAGGACATTCGATTTGTTTTTATCATTTCACATAAACAGACATTTTTAAATAAATGTATTTTCATTCCATTGGCAACTAGGATATTACTTATTCTAAAGAAACCAATACTATATTTATAGACAAGTGACCTTTTCTATAGTTTTATCAAGTATATTGATGTAAAACAAATTTGTCTTATTTTCAAAGTCACATGCTTTAACTACTTTGCCACAATGGCCAACTATAAAAGTCTTAGTTCACTTATAATAAATGATTTTACAGTAACAGTATACTACATGCATAACTAGTTTCTAAAGGCTAAGATAAAGGGTCAAAGAGGACCCTAAAAACTATGCTAACAGCTCAACAGATTATCAAAATTGGAGGGAAGAATTTTGCAAATCAAAAAATAAAACCTTTCCCAAGACATCTTGTGCAGTTTAAAAACAAGATTTAAGAAATGTTAATACTATGTTAGAAGGAAACAGGAGGTATTAAAAGAATGAATTTTTGGGGGGAGCAAAAATAGTCCAAAACAAAAGAAACTTATGGGTGACAAGGCAAACTAGTGCTGTGACAACATCGAAATTGGGACAAGAAATTCTGACTAACTGTTTTCTGGAGCTGATGGCATTAAATCAGCGAGCCCGCTACAACCGCCCATACCTTGGGCACTGTAACCAACTGTTCCAAGCTTGGCCAGAGCTGCGATGTTCACCAGCGGAGCACTTGAGTTGCTGTTTGTGCTACCGGCATCCACAGAAATTCCACTGTCTGACATAGCAGGACTGTGTGAATTACGTGAATGACTCCGGCTGTCATGACTTCGACTTTCAATAGTAGACCTGCTGCGACCAATAGGTATAGCGCTTGGTGGCATGTTAGAAAAGCTGTGGGGGAAACTGAATTCTCCGATAGTGCCTGGTGTAATACTTGGTGTCATATTCATAAAGTCATTATGAACTGGTGGCATAATTGTTGTATCGGGACTAAGAATGCCTGAGTGCAGATTGAAACCTTCATTCTCAAAGGAAGAATGCAGTGATGACAATGGTCGCTCTGGCAACTGAAATAGAAAAAGATTAATTCTTGTAATCACTATGTTCTGACATAACCACAAGAAATTACCATTCCAAAGATTTTCACGTTTTGACACAATGTGTAGGCACAATTGAAAGTCAATCTAAACTCAAATACAGCTGCCAACAATGTTTTAAATTCCAATCACAGTTTTGTTTGTATGAGGCTCTGTGTTTCATCAAATGATGTGAGGCAAGACCTTAAGATTTCTCTTCAATATTTAATTGCAACTAAAGTTTAATAGGTAGAAGCATCAACATTCCAATGAGACAAATGCATTCAGTCATGATTAAAATACAAAATATATCACAATATCAATCATTAGCAACTTACATCACATATTACAATGCAAGTTAACAGGTGCAAACAGTTTATAACACAGTACTTGTACTCGGTGATACAAGTCTGTCAGATAGCAACTTGAGGCCAATTTCCTCAATATAAATTACCAGTTGACTCAATTGAAGAATTCCCAATGTATTTATTTAATGACTTTTCAAAACTGTGAAATTCCATATGATTTAGATGTTATATTTTATTTTACACGTCATGGGAAAGAACACCTCAAGATATTCATGTGAAAAATATCACAAATAGGGTTCTTTTTTTCACAAGCTTTCAATGTCATAAATACTTCATCAGGGCAACATGGGAAACACTTTTTTCTCAATTCTAATGCTATTAGTGAATGAAAAAAGTGTGGATTTAACAGTGGAAACATGACCTCCCTTTAAGAAGTGGTTCCTGAATAATGTTGCATACTTACTGCACATGGACCAGTTTTAATGTCCTCTTCTTTCTTGAAACTTCCAAACGTTTTCTTTACGGCCTCTTCAAACTCAGAACTATTTGTTTTAAAGTCAATATGAACATTAACATCAGGATTGGGTGTGTTATTAATCAAGGATAACAGCTGGCTCGAAATTGTTTTCTTCATGAGGAGTAACTGTAGAGCACTACCATTGTTTAGAACATGTTCTGTGAAGCTACAGCCATCTTCTAGCTTCTCTGTGGCTTTTTCAACACTGTGACATAGTTCCATTAACGACAGTTCCTTACTGGATTGTAAAGTGTCCAGTTCGGAGAGTAAATCATCCTGAAAACAAATGAAGTATAACCTGAAATTTATCTAATTCAATGAAATGAAAATACATTTCTTCAGTTTCATAAACACTGAATATTTGAGTCTGTCCAATAAACATATTACAACTATTTAGATCATAAAATGCAGTCTTTTTATCTGACATTTGTAACTTAAACATGAACACACTCTTAAATTGGAATGAAAGGTACTTCAGTTCTGAAGAAAACAAGATGAATCTGCTGTCAGCACACTTCAATTTTCTCAATACTAAATAATATGACAAAACCTAAACAGAAAAGGGCATTATTCTCCAAAAGTGTACAGCAATTGATTAGCTGATAAAATAAGATAATGCAATCTAAACAAAACCCAAGTTTGAAGAGAATAAATAAGATTTTTAGAATAAACCAGTGTAAGAAATTAGGATTTGAATAGACTAGGCTGGTCGGACTACCAGATTGGAATATTCACTAGCCCAAAAGACATTTCACTAGCACAATTCATTTGTTCACAAAACAGTTGTTTATATTGCCTCTGAAAATACAGTAGATTGGTCGGGCATTTTACTGTGCAAAGTTGGTAGCCCGAGGTGAAATTTAGTAGTCTGGGGCTATAGGACTGCTAATTTCGAACACTGATAAACCTTCCCAAAATGGTTAATAAGGGCAAACAATTCCAAGTCATACAAGAGGCAAAACTTATCTTTTTATACATTATCTGCCCTTTTGGCATCACATATTGATAATGAACAAGTTAACAAAGTTTGCTGTGAATACATTTGATAAATTTTCTAGACAAGAGGGCCATGATGGCCCTGAGGTCGCTCACCTGTATAAAGGCACCCGGAGCGTGGCCAGTTAAAACCCCAGGGCTTTTATTTGAACAAACTTGGAAGACACCCATTAGAAGATGTTTCATGATGTTAAGTTTTTACTACACACATATAATGAAAAACAACAATCTATCTCCCCCCTTCTCCCCTCCCCCCGGCAGGGCCAATTTTAACCCAAGGGCTTTTATTTGAACAAACTTGGTCAACACCCATAAAAAGATGTTTCATGCTAAACATCTAAGCTCTAGCTCATTCGGTTTTTTTCAAAGAAGATTTTAAAGTTTTTGCTATACACATATAAGGAAAATCAATAACACCCGGGGCTGGGCCAATCTTGACTCCAGGGCTTTTATTTGAACAAAATTTGTAGACATTCACTAGAAGATGTTTCATGCTTAATATCTAAACTCTAGCTATTTGGGTTTTTTCAAAGAAGATTTTTTAAGTTTTTGCTATTCACATATAAGGAAAATCAATGACCCCCGGGGCGGGGCCAATTTTGACCACAGGGCTTTTATTTGAACAAACTTGGTAGACACCCATTAGAACATGTTTCATGCTAAATATCTTAGCTCTAGCTCTTTGTGTTTCTTTAAAAGAAGATTTTTTAAGTTTTTACTATATGCATATAGGGAAAATCAATGACCCCCTGGGGCGGGGCCAATTTTGACCCCAGGGCTTTTATTTGAACAAACTTGGTAGACACTCATTAGAAAATGTTTCATGCTAAATATCTTAGCTCTAGCTCTTTGGGTTCTCTAAAAGAAGATTTTTTAAGTTTTTACTATATGCATATAGGGAAATCAAAGACCCCCTGGGGCGGGGCCAATTTTGACCCCAGGGCTTTTATTTGAACAAACTTGGTAGACACTCACTAGAAGATGTTTCATGCTTAATATCTAAACTCTAGCTATTAGGATTTTTTCAAAGAAGATTTTTTAAGTTTTTGCTATTCACATATAAGGAAAATCAATGACCCCCGGGGCGGGGCCAATTTTGACCCCAGGGCTTTTATTTGAACAAACTTGGTAGACACCCATTAGAACATGTTTCATGCTAAATATCTTAGCTGTAGCTCTTTGAGTTCTTTAAAAGAAGATTTTTTAAGTTTTTACTATATGCATATAGGGAAAATTAATGACCCCCTGGGGCGGGGCCAATTTTGACCCCAGGGCTTTTATTTGAACAAACTTGGTAGACACTCATTAGAAGATGTTTCATGCTAAATATCTTAGCTCTAGCTCTTTGGGTTCTTTAAAAAGAGGAGTTTTTAAGTTTTTACTATATGCATATAGGGAAAATCAAAGACCCCTGGGGCGGGGCCAATTTTGACCCCAGGGCTTTTATTTGAACAAACTTGGTAGACACTCATTAGAAGATGTTTCATGCCAAATATCTAAGCTCTAGCTCTTAGGGTTTTTTAGAAGAAGATATTTAAAGTTTTTTCTTTCTGTTGCCATGGCAACCAGAGTTCTGCATGGAATTAAATTCTTTGAACAATTTTTAAAGGTGACCACCAAAGGAACATTCCTGTGAAGTTTGGATGAAATTGGCTTAGTTTTTTATGAGGAGATGTCATTTAAAGTAAAAGTTTACGGACGGACGGACGACGGACGAAAAGCGATCACAAAAGTTCACCCTGTCACTTTGTGACAGGTGAGCTAAAAATAGACTAAGTTTCAAAAAGGTTAACAAATGCAAACATGACCATCATAACAGCTTCATTTTCCTTCTTCAGAAAGTGGAGTTAAAAATCAAGTTATTAAGTTATTTTTAACTAATTTACCTTTCTTTTTTCCAAGATAGCTTTATAACTTTGGAATGTCTCATTTATCAAGTCTTTAGCATTGTCCCTCTGACTCTGAAGCTCTGTCAGAGAACTCATCAATGTGCCTGTAGCCTCTTCACACGAAGCTATCTTACTCTTACTCTCTGTTATAATACTCTTCAAATATTCTCTCTCTTTCTCCTCCAAATCTTGAACTCTCTCCGGCTGATGTTCCGGGGGTTTGTGGTCTGATACAATACAGTCATTACATATTGGTACCTGAAATTAAAAAATATGTTATAATATACATTCATTATATACTGACACTGAAATTTAGTAATATGTAGTCATCTCTTGAATTGTCAATTGAAAATTTGAAACACTCACTTTTTTTACTCACTTAGAGATCCAAAATTCCACTCACTCTCTCGTAAATATGAATAAAATTTAAGATAATTTAATGCAGTACGAGTAGAAAAATGTTGCCTGCACAATGGATTTTGAAGCTACTTGTCTGCAGAACGAGTGACTCTTAAAATATTTTTCGATGCCTGTAAGTTGCATTTTTTATCTGCTATGGAGCAAGGTTCAATATACTTCAACCACAAATTAATGGTGGTTTCTTGTCTGAAGTACTTCAGAAAAATTTATTCTGATTTCTTTTGAAATTAATCTTAGTAGTGGCAAATATGTGTTACCTCACAAGTCTTGCAGTAGTTCTTCAGATTTTCTGTTAGATGCACAGTACAAAAAATAGGTCTGTGCACAGCAGATGTGTTGCCTTTCTTCATTTCCTCAAATGTAATTACCTAAAAGATCAGAGTAAGTTTATATGCTTTACTATCGGTATCCACCAGTAGACAGCAAAAATTTCTTAAACAATTAAGCCAAGATAAATTTATACAAAGGAAACATGCAGCTGATTAAAAACATCAGTTAATTGCAACTTCTCATTTTTCAACTATTTTGCTAAGTGTTTATTACAATTGACTTAGTTACCACATAATAGAGGTTACAATTGGCCATTAAAAATTATCAAAATGAAAAATAACAATGGCATTCAAAATGTTTTCTGAAAGTCATTGTGTGGTAACAATTTGTTAAATACGTATACTATAGAAACAGATGATCCAGAAGACTTAAGTGCTTATCATATGTTCAACAAAATAAACACATGCAACAAGATTTTTTTTAAATATTTACCCCCTCTCTTAAATTGTCATTTTAAGTACATACCTTGTGGTTTTCAAAACACCTCATAAACTGATGAGCTATAATACAGTTCGGACACAGGAAATTGGCACAATCTTGACATCTTGCTTCTGCATGTTCTTTAGCTTTGCAGCTGGTACAGACTATCTGAGAGTCTTCAATATCGGACATCTCAATCAGGTCAGTTAACACATACTCAGGAAGGAGGTCAGACAGGCCTTTAGCTGGTATAGGTGTTTCCTGTTGACACTGCTCACACTCAATAACACTCTGTTTACAGTCATCATCCTGACACTTTTCTTCAACCTGTTGTAAGAGAAATTATTGCACTGGATAACAATTTATCCTCCATGACTGGCCTTAATTTTGATTATGTTCATTTGCCATTTTTTTTTTTTACTTAATGTTAGAAGTATATAATAAGATCCAAACTGAAGCATTTCTCATTAATTCTAAACTTAACTTCTTAATTGTAGACATATTTTTGTAATAGTGGTCTTCACTGGACAATATTTCAACTCTGTTTATTTCTACTGTTGTGTCCATCCAATGTTAGAATGTCTTCATATTTCAGACATGTAATAAATAAATAAATAAATAAATATCAGTCTTAAATAATTTCAAATATGACAGCACTTACCTGTTTTTCTAAACACTTTAAACAGTACACATGAAGACAACTCAAAACCACAGGCAGTTTCATCTTTTCCCGACATGATCTACATTTTTGTCTGTCATCTGGGGTCGGTGAACTGATCGGAGACTCCAGCGGTGAATCATGCATCTCTTCATCAGACGACATTGTTGCACTATATATAACTACACAAACTGAAACAAATAAAACTATTTATAACAAACATGCAACTCGTGACATATATAAGTCCTGATGTAAGGCCAAAATTGGCATTTATCTTTCTACATTTTGACGGTCAAAATTTATATTCATTTAATGACTACAGTTAAAACAAATAATCAGACAAACAAATGTAAAGACAGGCACCATAATGATAACAGTATAATCCAAAAATAATTCAAGCACATACAAGAGATCTATCGCTCAGGTACTTAAAAATAAATTTCCTTGCATCACCAAGAAATTCAATTTTTAAGATCTCATTAAACAAAAACAAAGAAAGAATCTCACATAATGGATATCAAGTTCAGCATTTCTCTTTCACAAAATAGAAGGAAAGGATGTTACAACAATACTTCAATAGAAGGATCTTATTAAGTGTCAATTTGTTCACAATACAAAAGTAAGAATATATCCTCCTGTCAATTTTGCTAGCAAGGAAATAACACTTGAACCATATCCAATAAGCAAACAAACAACATTGACAAAGTAGTAGCTTTCAAAAGAACAGGAAATCAATGTCCACAATACCTTGCTATTATCTTTAAAAGAAATCAAACAAGTACACTTTCTGTGCATATGCTAACCAGTTTACCAATTTTCTGGTTTATATTCTTAGCAGAAGATCATTCTCTATATATAGGTAATATACTTGAAAAACTACATACAAATTGTATGAGAGTTAAACATATATTAAGACAGAAAATCTTTTGAAAATACAACATCAAAGATGATAGCCAATTTCAGGAATGATATATCTATTTAAAACAAAGTCTAAAAGTCATCTTAAACTCTTGCTATGTCATTTTCTTTCAAAATATCTCAATTATTCATATAAAGAAAAAAACATTAGACAGTAAATCAGTGAGAATGTCAATTTTAAGTCCCTTCTCAAAAGAGATACGCTCATTAATCATGTATCCTTCACTTACGATTCTTAAATTTTATGTCTGGAAAATCTGATTAAATCATAAACTATGATCAACCCTTAAACAGGATATCAGCTTTTCAAATTATAACAAAAATATTAATACTGGGTTAACAAAAAAATGCAAACATCTCAAAACTTTCAATCAAGTATAATTCTGAAATGAAACTACAAATAGTTACAAAATGCATAATCTCTTAAAAATATGCTTTTTCATTATCTGATTTTTTTTAAGTGTTTGACAGTTTACGCCCATGCACACTTATTTAAATATGAGAAGGTAAATACTGTACAATGACAAGACTTTTCAAATGTATTTTGTATATCCATATCTATAGCAGTGTTTTATTGAACGCCCTCAAGATGCAGTCAATGAATTTAAAATTTACTAGCCCGAATTCCAGATTTGAATTTATTCTACTATATATTTAACTAAATTTTCTTAGAATTTTCACTGTCCCGAACTAATTTTCATTGGCCATGGGCCACCGGGCCAGTGCTAAATTCGATGACTGAAGATGGTTTTCCATAAACATGGATTTAAGTATACAGATGCATTTATTTATATTGATGATATTTCTGCCGTGCTTGTAAAACAAACTGGGTTTCTCAACCAAGGACACTAGTGTCTGTCTTGGAATCAAACTGGGTCTCTCAAACTAGGTGACAGTAATATGTCTGCCAGAGAAGCAAACTAGATCTTTTAAAATAGGTTACACTACAGTAGATAAACAAACTGGATCTCTCAATCCAGGGGTTGAATATTCCATTTGTTTACCCCCATGCCTGGTGAGCAGACTTAGTCATCAGGTAAGTCCATTCACACAATAAATTCTATATGCACACAATAGAAATTGCAAACAAGGGGTACATGCATTTACAGTACAATTTTTAATGAATGTTTGGGATGGTCCAACCTGCATACCTGCAAAATGCTGTTTCCATCTTCTTGTAAGGGACAGTACTGTCCTGAGTAAGGCCCCAACGGTTACACGTTTAAACGGATCCGTTTCGATTTTCATTCGTAAACGTTTACGAAATGTTTTACCGTTTAATCGAAATGACCATATTGTCTTACAAAAAATATTAATCATTGCCTGTAATCATGAATTCTATTAATACTAATTGATCTATTCCAAAGTAAAAAACAGAAAATGGGTGGTTACAAACCTCTAGACAGCATTACCATGCAATAATTGCTTGTGATATAATACATTTTTGGTAAAGTTTATTTACCTTTGTTGCTCAAAAGAGCGAAATGGGGATACAATGCAGAAAAAGTGTGCCCACTCAATGGTGAAACATTATTTATTTGTACATGTATTAAAAATGGGTCAAAGACAGAAAAGGCCGGGTTGCATTTGTACACCAAATATCATGAGGCTGTGATGTTACGAAAAAAAATTTCCATTGACCCATTAATGTCGAAAATTTAAATCAGTAGGGTATACAGGAAATGGATGAGCTACACACCTAAAATCGAATCCCACAGTATGGGACCATGTGTCAATGCTGTATGCCAAATATCAAGAGGCTGTGATTAGTAGTTTCTGAGAAAAATGTTACGAAAATTTCCTACCAGTGACCATAAATGTGAACAGGAAGTGGATGAGCTGCAGACCTGAAATCAAATCCCACAGTATGGGACCATGTGTCAATGCTGTATGCCAAATATCAAGAGGCTGTGATAAGTAGTTGCTGAGAAAACTGTTACGAAAATTTCCTACCATTGACCATTAATGTCGAAAAATCTAACTAATTTAACTAAGTGGATTAACAGAAAGTGGACGAGCGACAGACCTGAAATCAAATCCCACGGTATGGGACCATGTGTCAATGCTGTATGCCAAATATCAAGAGGCTGTGATAAGTAGTTGCTGAGAAAACTGTTACGAAAATTTCCTACCATTGACCATTAATGTCGAAAAATCTAACTAATTTAACTAAGTGGATAAACAGGAAGTGGATGAGCGACAGACCTGAAATCAAATCCCACAGTATGGGACCATGTGTCAATGCTGTATGCCAAATATCAAGAGGCTGTGATAAGTAGTTGCTGAGAAAACTGTTACGAAAATTTCCTACCATTGACCATTAATGTCGAAAAATCTAACTAATTTAACTAAGTGGATAAACAGAAAGTGGACGAGCGACAGACCTGAAATCAAATCCCACAGTATGGGACCATGTGTTGATGCTGTATACCAAATATCAAAAGGCTGTGATACGTAGTTGCTGAGAAAACTGTTACGAAAATTTCCTACCATTGACCATTAATGTCGAAAAATCTAACTAATTCAACTAAGTGGATTAACAGGAAGTGGATGAGCGACAGACCTGAAATCAAATCCCACAGTATGGGACCATGTGTCAATGCTGTATGCCAAATATCAAGAGGCTGTGATAAGTAGTTGCTGAGAAAACTGTTACGAAAAATTCCTACCATTGACCATTAATGACGAAAAATCTAACTAATTTAACTAAGTGGATAAACAGGAAGTGGATGAGCTGCAGACCTGAAATCAAATCCCACAGTATGGGACCATGTGTTGATGCTGTATGCCAAATATCAAAAGGCTGTGATACGTAGTTGCTGAGAAAACTGTTACGAAAATTTCCTACCATTGACCATTAATGTCGAAAAATCTAACTAATTCAACTAAGTGGATTAACAGGAAGTGGATGAGCGACAGACCTGAAATCGAATCCCACAGTATGGGACCATGTGTCTATGCTGTTTGCTAAATATCAAGAGGCTGTGATAAGTAGTTGCTGAAAAAACTGTTACGAAAATATCCTACCATTGACCATTAATGTCAAAGAATTTAACTAATTTAACTTAGTGGATAAACAGGAAGTGGATGAGCGACAGACCTAAAATGAAATCCCACAGTATGGGACCATGTGTTGATGCTGTATACCAAATATCAAAAGGCTGTGATAAGTAGTTGCTGAGAAAACTGTTACGAAAATTTCCTACTATTGACCATTAATGCTGAAAATTTAAGTAGGTCAGCAAACAGGAAGTAGATGAGCGACAGACCTGAAATCGAATCCCACAGTATGGGACCATGTGTTGATGCTGTATACCAAATATCAAAAGGCTGTGATAAGTAGTTGCTGAGAAAACTGTTACGGAAGTTTTTTCCCCGCCCGCCCGCCGTCCGGACGCCCGCCGCCCAACATTCACCATACTATAACCCGGATTTGCACCAGTGCAACCCGGCCAAAAATATAAAGGGAGTCATCATTTGGCGGCTTGTATACATGGTGTAGTACAGTACATAGAAGTACCACCGTTTAAAGGGTATCGTTTCGGTTCTTAACAATCGTGTAAACGTTTACAAAAAAATGTAAACGTGGGAGCCTTAGTCCTGAGAATTTTTTTTTTTTAGAGACAGTCATTGAATTTAAGTTTTTAAATTCATTGGCCTGAATTCCAGTTTTAAATTCATTCTAGATCTACTATATATTTAACTAAAAAAAATTTAATTTACATTGGCCCAAACTAATTTACACTGGGCCAGTGTAAAAAATTCATATATTTATATCTGGTATATAGCTAAAATCATATTCTTTAAAGCTGCATGCCTCCACTCCAGATGAGCAAAAATATTTCAAGAAAATAAAACTTGAGAAAAATGTGCCAAGATTTTAAGTAAAAAGATTTAAGTAATAATTTACATGCCATTATTGACCGATTTTGCAGTATTTATCACTATATTTCTCAGTCATTCCAAAAAACCATCATACCTGTCTAGTAAAAAATAGGCAGGTCTGATGAATTTTCTCATGCAGACAAACCTCCTGTCTGGTAAAAAGGTCAGTCATCAAGCTTTTAGCCTTTACCCCCCAAAATGTAAAGTTCTGTATTTGCTTTCGGCATGCGCGCACAAGGTATATTGAAATAGAGAGCCAGTTTGCGAAAACTTAATAATAAAGATTTTTATTATATTCTACACAAGATACCAAACGTTGGGAATGTTCCCCAGTGACAGAGCCTACATTACCCCTCTACAGTCTAAACATTCCCCAAAATTCCAGAACGCATGAAACAATTATCTTATAACGATTACAGTACAATGAAAGTTTATTTGCCAAAAATGTATTATTTTAGTTCAAATTTAAACTTTCTATCTAGGACTCTTCCATTTAGTCAAACACCTGCTGGGGAGATAGAATTTACCTTCAGACTTGCATGCATCAGAAAAATCAATATGCTCAAGATGTTTTTTATTATTCAATTTGAATCGAAAGCAGAAAAATTTGGAAATACAGTGAACCTGGAGTCTTCATTATGGGATTATGTTATTACTGTAGAGTCACAAGTATTATGGAAGACAAAAGTTACTTCCCTTGAAAAGACCTAATTTCATTTCCTTTCATTTGATTTGTAGGAAAGTTGGTTCAATTATAATTTTGGTTCACGAAAAAAATAAACAATAGCATTACACAGTTAATGAATCTCAACACTATTAACAAAATGACCTGAAAAAATAAAATTTCTGAGAAATGAATCTACAAAAGTGGGTGGGGAATGATTTTGAAACCGAAAATTGGATTCAATTGACACAAGATATTGAAACCGCCTTAAAAGTAAATAGCAAAAATAGTTAATCAAAATAATTGTTTGTGCACAAAATTTAACTCTAAATAAAATTTTAATAACATGCAAGCCTGTAGTTATCTGGTTAATAAATTTCTATCATTAAAACATTGCATAATTTTCAAGTGGAACGAGAGTGCAGATCATTTAAATTTATCTATTGACAGCGAACTGCCCTAAGACAAATAACCATGTCAAGAACAAAATATTTGTAAATAAACAAAACAAACACGAACGTCAACTGCGTAAAATGCGATGCAACTGCAACTCTACAAAGCTGCTGCAAGTGCTAACGTGGTATCCCTTCTGAAAAAATACATTTATAGCATTTAACAGACAGTTAATCCTATGAAAACTAATTAAAACAATACCTGGAATGTTAAAGTATCACCTAATGTAAACGTATTTTTTGATCATAACATAAGAGAAGAGAATTTCTTAAAACTGGAGTGCGATCCAGACGACTTCCCTCCATTGATGTTGGTGTCGGAATTTTCTCACGAGGTCGAAGTCGCGCATGCGTAAGTACCAAGTGGCGGGAAAATGAAATGTTTAAACGGAACATGTTTTTTTTTCTTCACTGAACGAAAGCTCGATAGAATTTATTGCAAATGTATTCAATTTCATATTTGTAAATGAGTACATCCTTCTTAAATGGTTCTTTAATCTAGACAGGGTGCACATGCGCGGTTACAGAGAGTTTAAAATCAAAATAGCTACAACAGCAAAATCTAGCTAGATCTGGATCTAAAAATATCATACAAATTTACGGATAGAGCCTAGTCGAAAATTACAGAGAAGCTCAATGTATCACGGTAGGGAATCACGTGACTTTTACGGTTACGCGTACAGACAATATGGCGGCCTAAAAACCTCGCTTCACATGTGTTTTTCAGGTAATTCTTTATTATATCCCTTTTACTTACATACGAGACCTGTTGCAGCCTACGCGGAATAAAGAATTGTTGCCGCCTATACCTTATTTTCCACCCCTGTGCTCATAGCTTTTACAAACACTCAAAAATTCAACAGGAATTTTCAATGTTGACAATTATTTTTCGGGTAACATTCACGCAATCTTTGTATTTTTTATGAATTTGATTAAACTACGTAGAGTTAGCAAAGAGAAAATGTTCATAGAAGTTCTTTATTTGAAAATGTAAATATTAGGCATGTAAATGTTGACTGGTCATTTTCTATTCCAACACACAAGAGAAAAATGATTTGGGTAACGGCCACGCAAACTTTTATTGTTGATAACTCCCACGCAATATTTTATGTGCAAGCAATATCTATGCAGGTTTTTAGCCTAGATATTGATTTAACAAAATCATGATTGATGCATTTAGCCTCAGACTTTCAAATAATTTTGAATAATATTTAAAAACCGCCAATAGGTCCTGGATAGAATTAAACCAGCAGGCACATAAACGTTGAACAACGTTGAATTATGGTCAGATATTAACGTTGAAATAACGTTGGATTTATGTTCGGATTTGAAAGTTTAAACAACGTTGAAATTCAACGTTGGCACAACGTTAAAGTTTCAATGTCATTTCAACATACTTCAATTTTAATATAAAGCAAAGTAACAGAGTATAACTGTTTAACAAAAAAAAGACAGTTTAAGTGCAGCTTTAATTTTTAACGATTTAAGAAGTCCTTTTAGCTAGAATTAAGCTACAATCTGTTCCACTCTACTACTATACTTCTTCTAGATCTCTCCTGGTATGTCTTAAGTGTTTCGTATGGTGTTTGAATACTTCGTTGGCTGTCTCTTACTGCTTCTGCAAATAAAATAAGAAGTTACTTATTAAAAGTGACTTGGTCAATCTTAAATATATATATAATTAATCAACTTAGTGATATGTTTTATCTTAAAATGATTATCTCTAAGATTTACATAATAAAACAGCATAGAAATTAAGATACAGTTGAAGTTTCATATTGACAGCAAATTATGTACATAAAACAGCAAAAACTTTTTTAAAAGAAGCTATTTAGAAGTCTCACCTATGATAGGTAAGAAACACTGCTCCCCTTCAGTTACTTGCAGCATATTCCTAAGAAATATTCATTCTAGGCTCTAGCTAAGACCATTGTATGCAGCATCCTGAAAACAACAAATATGTAAATTTTATATTAATAATGTTACACAAGTATTCTAAAAATAATATACATGTATTATTAAGACAAGATAAATGTCCAGTAGTTGCAATTTTAATACTTTGTTAAGAAGTATATATATATATATATATATATATATATATATATATTAATATTAGAATTTCAAATTCAACAAACCTGACAGTCCTTTTCATGTGAAATGTATGGTATACAAACTACAGCTGAAATATACTCTCAATTTCAGCCAGGACCAGGATCTAGAATATAAAATAGATTTATTATTACCTATAAATTCACGACAATTAAGCTTAAAAGTTAACATTAAAGAACAGTTTAATCAATATTTGTGTCGATAATGCAATGAATATAATGATTTTTAAACTAATTCACGCTTATTTTTACTATCACTAAGATATAAATACAGCTAGATTGACGAATCGTCTTGGGACGTTCTTGATATGGGCCGAATAACACTTCATCTGCGTATAGGTTACAAAAATATGATAAATAACTTTCAAAAAAGCATGACCTGTAAAATCACAAATTGCAATAACTTCGCTTAAGGCCTACCAAACCCAAATCATTCAATTATAGGTCGCGTTTTAGTACAAAAGTCTCAAATATTAGAAGGAGGTTTATTATTTCTGTTTTGGTACAATTACAGGTGTCATTTTTTCATATTTTGCAGATATGAAAATGTCCAGCTCGGATATTGACTGTGATAAATGTAGGAAACATTTCATGCACGGAATGACCACATCGGCACAGGACCTTATAACTTTTGTGGTAAACATTTATAGCTCAGCAAATCGAAAACGTTACGGGTTTTACTGTTAGTATTAAAATAACAATCAAAAACATAAGTCCTCTAGATTTTATTACCTAGTTTGTAAAAAGACCCATTCTAATATGCTTTAGGGTTGTTTTTATTAGCTCACCAGAAGCCGAAGGCTCAGGGTGAGCTATTAGTATCAAAGGGGGATGCTTCCGGCGTCGATCGTCCGTCATCATGCGTCAACAATCGTCTTCTAAAAAATAGAAAAACCTTTAAAACATCTTCTTGTACAGAACTAATCGATGGATGATCACCAAACTTTGTCAGTAGCATTCTTGGGAAGTATTTTATCAAGTTTGCCTCATATTAATTTGATTGGCCCCTTTTAGGCATCTCTAGGGCTAAAAATAGAAAAACCTTTAAACATCTTCTTCTACAGAAATAATTGATGGATGATCACCAAACTTTGTCGGTAGCATTCTTGGGTAGTCTTTTATCAAGTTTGCTCATGTGAATTTGATTAGCCTTTTTTAGCGGCCACTGAAATTAAAAATAGAAATATGTTTTTAACAGCTTCTCCTGTAGAACTAATGAATGGATGATCACCAAACTTTGTCTGTAGCATTTTTGGGTAATCTTTTATCAAGTTTGCTCACATTAATTTGATTGGCCCCTTTTAGGGGCCGCGATAGCTAAAAATATCTTCTACTTCAGAACCAATTGATGGATGATCACCAAACTTTGTCTGTAGCATTCTTGGGTACTCTTTTATATTAATCTGATTAGCCCCTTTTAGGGGCCACTAAAGCTAAAAATAGAAATACCGTTAAATGTTTATTTGTAGAGAACTAATTGATTGATGATCACCAAACTTTGTCTGTAGCATTCTTTGGTAGTCTTTTATCAAGTTTGCTCATATTAATTTGATTGGTCCCGTTTAAGCTAAAGCTTAAATGCCCCAGGTCATGGCATTTCTTAAAATCATTGTTTAAACATATTCTATGCTCAAATTTAATATTAGAATATATTGACAACCCAACACTGAAAAGCAGTTGTTTCTGATGAGCGACTCAGGGCCATCATGGCCCTCTTGTTGTTTGTTTTTTTTTTGTTTTTTGTTTTTGTTTTTTTTGCTTTAGAATTAAAAAAAAGCATAATTATGTTAAATACAGACACTAATTTTAAAAATAATTGGTTACATAAGAGACTAAGTGATAAAATGATTTGAATGTCTTTGAAATCTTAATATTAACAGTAAAATGCCATACCTGTGACAGTTCGATTTGCAACAACGTTTACAAGGTCCTGTGCCGAGTAGCCAGTTTAAATGGTCATTAAGACCTGTCCGTGAACGAAATGTTTTCCAACATTATCCACAAACAATATCCGAGCTGCAACCGTCCATATCTGCAAACTATGAAAAAATGACAACTGTAATTGTGCTTAAACTGAAATCGACCTCCTTCTTATATTTGAGACCTTTATTTCAATTTCTGCGATTTATTCATCTATATCTTTATATCGAAACTTCATTTAATATATTTACGTGAGTATGTATTCTGCTACCCATAGGCGCTTAATTCTATCCAGGACCTTTTGGCGGTATTTTAAACATTATTCAAAATTCTATGAACGTTTAAGGCTAAATACATCGATCATGATTTTGTTAAATCAATATCTAGGCTATAGCCTGCATAGATATTGCTTGCACATAAAATATTGCGTGGGAGTTATCAACAATAAAAGTTTGCGTGGCCGTTACCCAAATCATTTTTCCCTCGTGTATTGGAATTGAAAATGACTTTTCAACATTTAACATGCCTAATATTTACATTTTCAAATAAAGAAATTCTATGAACATTTTCTCTTTGCTAACTCGGCGTGGTTGAATCAAATTAATAAAAAAATACAAAGATTGCGTGAAAGTTACCTGAAAAATAATTGTTAACATTGAAAATTCCTGTTGAATTTTTGAGTGTTTGTAAAAGCTATGAGCACAGGGGTGGAAAATAAGGTATAGGCGGCAACAATTCTTTATTCCGCGTAGGCTGCAACAGGTCTCGTATGCAAGTAAAAGGGATATAATAAAGAATTACCTGAAAAACACATGTGAAGCGAGGATTTTAGGCCGCCATATTGTCTGTACGAGTAACCGTAAAAGTCACGTGATTCCCTACCGTGGTATTCATGCAGCTTAATTTTACATCATAATAAAAGTCTCTGATGTATTGTAGTCCTACTTGTTTCCGGAACCTGCTTGGTTTATAATTTGCGTCCAGTAAAGTCATCTTATAATATTTTCTAGGCAATTAAAGGAGTAGTTCTAAGATTTGCCAGTTGTTTAAAGTAACCCTAGAGATCATGCTACATGTGAGAAATTAAGCAACATCTACGGAATTCCAGTTCAAATGCTCATTCACCATAATTGAGGCCATGGAAAATCAGCAGGCCTACTTTTGAACAATAAACTTGAAAACGTCTTGGTGTGCATTACATATCCGTCTGTCTATCCGGTATTAAGAAGGTTAGAAATTCTATTTCTATGATAAAATCACCTTCACATTGCTTACATGTCCCAAATAAGATCTATATCCAAAATAAAAAATGTCGAGGAAAACTGCTATAAAATTTTAAATAAAAGCGAGAAAATGTGTTTCATTTCTAGCCATGTATATAATCATCCGTAGACGGACTTTCTATTTTATTTGTAAAAAAAGTGCAAATTGGGGACGGAACTGCTAGGAAACCAGTACGTAAACCTAATTCCATATATTTTGGAACATGCGATGGCTTCACAATTAACGTGCACATGTATGTATGCGATCTGAAAGTATGAATCTCTTCAGCATATGAAGTTCGATTCCAAGGAATTTTGAGCAGCAATTCATTTAATTTGAGCCCAATCGCAATATAAATGTTTTAATAAGGGTTTGTTTGGGTGTTAAGCATCGTTTGGTGGTAAGATTTTGTGAAAACTGTATTTGGGGTCTGTTAAGCTACATTTTCTTTATACGCATTGCATATTTTGGGCACACCAGAACCTGCGACGGAATAAAAATCCGAACAAAAAATGGGCACGTGTAAATATAAAGGAATGGCAGGAGGGTAGAATCACATTTAAATTTTCTTCAAAAAAAGCTTTGAATTTTATATAAATGTTTAAAAAGTTTAAAACTTACCCTATGGTTGACTATTTTCTCGTTAAAGCGCACATCAGGATCAGTGGAAACAGGGAAATTCACATATATTTTTTTACCGATGCTCAATTTCCATCACGTGCATTGTTAACACACATTAAAAGTCACACTAACATCATTATATCAATTTACTTGTAGTTTAATGTAACTAGAAAGTCACACCATTTCTTTCTATAATTCAAGATTGTTTTCAGTAACAAACCCACGATATTGGGGATGAGATGTGACGACCGCGTTATCTTCTTGATCCGCTAGTGAAAACATTTAGGGCGTATATACGAGTATAAAATAATTTAGTAAATGGTATAATTCGCAAATGAACAGAATAATATTGAACTGTTTACAGTTAGTTCTATGCCCCACATTTCACAATTGTATGCAACATTACATAAAGCAGTTTAATAAATACGCAGTTGCTATAGCGTTATAAAAATCAGTTTTAAAAATTAATTTAAAAAATACGATATGCATATAACCCACGATTTTTTAAAGCCTAGATGATTTTGGTCTAATGTAAACCAACTTTAAACTTAAAATCAGTTTTCAAATGAATAAAATGTAAATACTTACATTTAAAAATATTCCATACGCTTCGTTCTAATAAACCGAAACTAGATTTTTTTTATCTAACCTATATTTTTATAACCCTGTAACGGCGTAAGGTTTAAATTTAGCTTAAACATTATTAAGATTCAATTACTATTTTCTTGGAATAACAATTTATACATGTTATTGAAAATTTATATACATCAATTTAAACTTTAAATGTGTTTAAAATGATTGTCCGATCTCTCTGCAATATTGTATATTATTTAATATTCGCCGGATTTGTTATTTCATCGCAATCCGAGTTCTATATATAATCTTACCAAAAACCAGGACAAAACTCTTTCGTTATTGTTATCATATATTGTACTATATTTTAGTATTGCATCTATGGGAGTGGAGCCCCAAACTGTTTATCCATGACATAACTTTAAGTTCTCGGGGGTATAGAGCCTGTCTTATTGCGCAACCGAGGCAGGGCTCAAATTTCTGGGCTACACAAAAACAACTTTGTCGTACCCAGTTGGTCAAGAAGTCTCTGGAAGTTGGGGCTGCTGTATATTATCAATCGCAACTTATCGGCATTATCCGTCAAACTTCGGTTACTAAAACATCAGGTGTTCAGTAAGATAATTAATTATACGACATAGGTAAGATGGATTACCATTTCAACAACTGAATTATTTTTAGATCTAATGTAATGCAAATGTGCTGAATATTGAAAAAGTCCTAGCAAATGTGAATAAATAAAAACGTCAGGCATGGACCTTTATTATACATATAGAATATAATTTGTAAGTTTAAGGTCAAATGGAATTCAAGGTCACTAATATTATGTTTAATATCCTTATAACAAAAGTAATTATTTATGATTTGATTCCCTATAATTTATTGTTAGCATAAAATAAACTGTAATTCAATATTCAAACCTAAGGCCACATTGTATTTGCATAGAGAATGCAATTTCATTTAAAAAAAGAGCAAAAGTTAGACTATGCTAAAAGTTTTTGGTGAAAATATTTCACAAACATATTAAACATTAATTAAAGAACAATCAATTCCATGCGTTTTTAATTTTAAAAATTCTTTCCGAATTTTGTACAAAATATTTACAAATAAAGTAATTTCTTTAACTATTAATGATTATTTGTTTTGAGTTTTATTTTCAAAAAATCTTTAATTATCTGGAGGTATGCAGGTTAGATAATAATATATATACACACAGATATCTATAGAGATAATGTAACTTTATCTGATTTAATCTGTATCATCAAGTATCTACAATTTATATATTATCTAACACAAAAAGAATTAAACATTTCATTGTTTGCATGTAGGTAAAATCTTGACCCTGTGAAATTGAGATTGAGAAATATTTTACACTAATCTTATTATATTAGTATCACATGAAAAAAAATCAGAGAACCCAACAAATTGTTAATGAAAAATTCCTACAATCAGTCTGGCAATAACCAAAGAAGGCCAAAGACTAATTATTTGTCAACTTGGTTGAGCACATCCACATTTAATTTTGAAAACAGTCCCTTTACAAAATGCTAAAAGCTTTTTTTATCATTCTAAAATTTGTAGTGTAATCTAATTAAAGTATTTGAACAGTATTATTTATTTTGTTTTTGTTTTTTTATTTCAGGCAACTTTGGTTAATGCAAATCTGGCATGGTAATGAACATTGGTTATTGGCATTGTCAATTCATTTAATACCATATACTGGACTAATTTTGCCAATTACCACCTAAGGAGCAATCTGATGATAACTCATGGCAACACTGAAAGACAAGTCCAAAGATACGTGTGTAAGACCGTGTGCTACACCATTAACATTTAAGAAAGACAAATGCAAGGTTTAGTTGCTTAATTGATTTTCTGAAGATCTTGTACTATGATCTAATACTCTTTATATTTAATCAATGTATTTACACAAGATCTCACTCCTGCATAAAATGATTAACACTTTTCTGCAGTAGCCATTTTCATAGGTTGCCAATGGCAACTAAAAATATACCTCTTTTATATCAACAAATGACCATTTCATAACCAGACAATTTTTTTAAAGCACTTTTTCTTTTTAAATCATACCAATACAGTATAGGTCATATAGCGATTTTCCAGGTTAACCGGTAGAGGAAGACTTCATGGGCCCTTCTGTGCATTATTTCAGGCACAAACTGGCACCTGAGTAGAACCACTGATGATCCTGTCCTTGCATAATTTCAGGCATGAACAGGCACTTGAGTAGAACCACCAACATTCCATAAGCTAGCTGACAACTCCCTCACATGAAAAGAATCTGAAGTCCCTGACAGGACTCAAACCTACAGCAATGAAGGGCAAGTGGTTTGAAGTCAACCATCTTAACCACTCAGCCACAGACACCCCTGTAAAGCAGGTGACTATTATAACTGGGAGTTGAAAATTTAACAACAAAACAATATTAAAGGTAATGTTCAAATATAGATATATCTATTTATAACATACAAATCAGTTTCACATACAAATGATACAAACGTGAATACACCTTAAAAATGTACAATTAATTTACAATATCAGTTCAGTGAAGTACTCTATACAAATTCATTTGAATCATAAATAAAATATTTCATAATCAATATATAGTTGTAGAAGAATGTAAATTATATATTGCCTTGAGGTGACTATACTTCAAAGTACATACATAAAATTAATTGCCTTCATTATATTCTTTTAATCTATTATACAATGATGTAATTTTATGAGTGAAAGTTTAAACTTTTCAGTCTGAAAATCCCTAATATAGCACACACATCTTTTATGTAGAAAGAGCACTTTAATGTATAAAAATTCTGACTGAAGATAAATCTGTTTGAAAAGATAGGTAAAACAGGCACAAATTCAGTTTTCAATTTAGAAAAAAATTAACAAATGGGAGATATTTATACATATCAAAACTATTATAGAGGTAATATATTAACACTGAATTAGAAAGTAAAGTTTTAAAATTTCAACACCATATAACCAGTACTACAACTTTATACAGTTACAGTACAAGTAACAACAGAGGTTGTAATGATCTGTTGTATCATCAGTCAGTTGTTACCCTAGACCCCTACCCTACACGTAAAAGCTGTAACTTATTGATAGTAAAAGCCCCTGCCATTTTACCTATACTTACATTGCAGTGGCGGAGTAATTGATATAAGCACAATTTACTACTATTTTGTAAGTTGATAACAAAAATCACATGCGTGTAACAAATAAATATGTACTTTAAGAAATATATGAGAGATTCATTTAACCTTTTAACATAAGCAGTTCAATTAACAAGCCTATTCAACAGTCAGACCAATATGCACATTCATTTAACAAGAACAAGTAAAATCAGGCCAATATGGGCATCTATGCAACAAGTACAAGTATAGAGTCAGGCCATTATGTACATCTATGCAGCAAGTACAAGTATAGTCAGGCCATTATATACATTTATGCAACAAGTACAAGTATAGAGTCAGGCCTTTATGTACATCTATGCAACAAGTACAAGTATAGTCAGGCCATTATGTACAGATATGCAACAAGTGCAAGTATAGAATCAGGCCATTATGTACATCTATACAACAAGTACTAGTATAGTCAGGCCATTATGTACAGATATGCAACAAAAACAAGTATAGAGGCAGGCCATTGTGCATATCTATGCAACAAGTACATGTATAGTCAGGCCATTATGTACAGATATGCAACAAAAACAAGTATAGAGGCAGGCCATTGTGCATATCTATGCAACAAGTACATGTATAGTCAGGCCATTATGTACAGATATGCAACAAAAACAAGTATAGAGGCAGGCCATTGTGCATATCTATGCAACAAGTACATGTATAGTCAGGCCATTATGCACATTTATGCAACAAGTACATGTATAGTCAGGCCATTATGCACATTCATGCAACAAGCACAAGTATAGTCAGGCCATTAGGCATAAATATGCAACAAGTAAAAGTATAGAGTCTGGACAGTCAACACATCTGTGCAATCGGATCAATCTCTATATTGACTATTATAAGATGTCAATATCAAAATCCCTCATATCAACAATGGACTGTTCCAAATCCAAAGCAGGACAAGTCCATTATAATCATTCAGTATGATGTAAGGATTGATATCAATATGTGCACATATGAAGCAATATTTAATTTTCCTATAAATAAGGCAATTAAGTTATACAGACATGAAAAAAATGCTTATTTCGTCAGTTATGGCTGTTTAACTTCTCAACTTTCTAAATGATTCATTAACCAGGAAGTGGAAAAAAAGTAATATCAATTAGGATTGAAAAGGAAGAAGAGTTTGCCTGCATGACGAGATATCATATCAGCATTTATAAAGTAAACATCACCTAACATATCATAATGTTACTGTTCATTTGTCAAATTATCAATATTTAAAATGTTCATATTTTATCATTTTTACACATGACCTGTTAAATATACATTGTTACAATTCAGGAAATACTGCACTATTATGTGGGAGGGTCTAAATTCTCACCCAGGCATTGTTTTCCTGTTTGTTTATTTTTTGGTTGGATTTTATGCTGCACCTACACAGTATAGGTCATATGGCATCTTTCCAGCTTTACTGGTGGAGGAAGATCTCAGGTGCCCTTCTGTGCATTATTTCAGGCACAAATGGGCACCTGAGTAAAACCACTGATGTTTGATAAACTAGCTGGACAGCTTCTTCACATGAAAGAATCCAAAGTCACAGCAGTGAGGGGCAAGTGGTTTGAAGTCAATGACCTTACCAACTCGGCCACTTCCCACTTCCCAGGCATTCTTTATTTAAAAGGCTAGCACCAGTTATAAATCAGAATACTTTATAATTGTATAGTAATGAAATCGGACTATTCTATATTCATACAGAGAATCCTATGTTTTTCTCAATACAACCATTCTTACAAATTTAAACTGTTTATTTTTGTTTGTTTTATTGGGTTTTACGTCACACCGACACAGTATAGGTCATATGGTGACGTTCCAGCTTTTACTGATGGAGGAAGACATCAGGTGCCCTTCAGTGCATTATTTCAGGCACACACAAGTAGACCTGAGTAGAACCATCGAAAATTTAAACTGCAATTGAAACATAACAGTTATCATAAACAGTTAAACTTATGCAGTTGTTTAACCAAAATTATATAAAAATGATCTGACAATGAAATTTGATATCAGCAAATTAAACCTCACATATAAAACCATGTGATATCAATATTGTAATATGATTATTTAGTCACATGACATGAATTGTTTTTTAATGTAACATAACCATTACATATTTCTGTATATTACACATGTTTGGCATTAAATGTAAGAGCTGTATCAACTGTTAAACAAGTTAAACCCTACATAAAGTCAATGAATAACATTTCTTTTTTAGAGTTCTAAGTCATCGTTTTATCACATTTTGAAATTTTCTCAGACTCTTCTAATATCCAGTGAAAAGAAAGTATTATAATTGGTGACATTCATATACTGTACCTGATGTTCAAGCTGTATTATAAAGCTTGAACCCCCACCACACTTCTTTAATATATATATTACAAATGACAACTAATAATAGATCCTTCATAAGCAGTGTCTCTATAGTATATATACAGCACATGCATTTGAAATGGGGAAGTTTCGCAGGGTTACAGTAATTTTTTTTTAAAAAATTGGGACATTTTTACAAACTTGTTTAACACATTCATTTTTTTCCCCATATAATATTCAAAGCCTCTATATAATGTTGATTTTTTTTTTATAATAAGCCATTATTCATATATGCCTTAAAAAAATTGTTGAGTTGGTTGAGAGTAACCCTTTCTCTACAATTTACCTAGAGGTCAAAAATAAAACAGGAATTTTAACAATTTTATCAAATGGAAAGAAATCTCTATTCAGTCGGTATTTTATGCACCCCTTCCACAAAAAACACTGAATTCAATTATACACCATATCTACCCACATTCTTCACATGGAAAACTGTGATCCATCTGTGTATTAAAATATTTGATTTTACTTTTTTTTCCCTAAAGAAAGCAACACCAAAAAAACAACACTGGTGTAACTTAACATGCTTAAACAGTATTTGTCATTGCTTAACCCAAGTGTGAAACTTAACAAAGTACATTAACACTTTCTCTAACAACAGTAAGAAAATAGGTCAGTTCATCTGAATCTCCAGCTGAATTCTTCTTCTCGGCATCGTCGGTTTTTACCCAATCAAATGGCTGTTCTAGAGTGAAATTATATACCAATCTTTCAGGTACACCTTCGACTATCTTCATGCCCTCGGCCCTCCATTCAGAGGGTGGAAAACTCTCCGCAACATTTCCCAGGCACGTTGTAGGAACAGTGAATGTAAAATGTTGTGAAGGATCCACAGAATGATTCTCGTAATGTTTCAACATTTGTCGACAACTTTCACTTAGGGTTGCCTGCGGCAAATGTAGACACTGTTTTAACATGATTACAGTTTCAAGCGTGTTCTGAAGTTTTTTCAACCTATCTAACTTCTCTTCCAATTCAAGATTTCCTTTCACATAATATTCCAGGTTTCCCATGCTTACAAGATTCTTTGATAAGAAAATGTGCACATAGTCCTGCGTTAACTTCTGATCGCCCATTTCAGCTAGATACTGTAGAGGTCCAAGACCTGCCATGCTTGGTGCTCGTAGCTGACCTCGGTAAGAGTCCTTGACCATCTGACCAATGGTGGTAGCATTGTATGTATGGATGAAAGGTTGTAATTCACCCTTCCGTGCCTCGGATATAATGTAGTTGAAGGACTGGACAAGCTCCGAGTAAGATGTACAATTCTGTAAGATCTAAAATAAAACATATTGTCTTAAAGATAATCAATAAACCACTGGTTATAACAAGAGTTGCCCTTAAGACAGCTCACTTGAATATTCTCAGTGCCTGACATTTAAAAAAAGGAACATAACTCTGTAAAAGGTAACTCATAGTTATGGGACTGTGCCAATCAAGTTAGATAACCTCAGAGGACAAGTTTATGAAGTTTCAACCCATTCCCTTCAGTATTTTTGGGGACAACAACTTACACACAAAAACTTAACCATAGTGTGAAGGTGACATATAAGCTGGGGTGTGTACAATAGCTCTTCCCATTCTTCAAACAAGTTAACAAGAGTTGTGGTAGGACAGCAAGCTTGACTATTCTCAGTGTATTATATGAAAACAAGAGCCCGGATAATGTAGATTTTTTGTAGAAGTTCAAAAAGTGCCTTAATTCTGTCAAAATCCATGTAAGAGTTATGAGCCTTGGAAAATGACCTATAATAGTCTCAAATAATAAGTGTATTGAGTTTTGATCCATTCCCTTTAGTGCTTTTAAAAATGCCAACTTGCATGCAACAACTTAACCAAAGTGGGACACCAATGCCTGGATGAGTACAATTGCTCTCCCTGGCTATGCTTTGAATATATAAATTGAAAATGTATTGAAAATGAAGTTGGGATAATATTGCAGTTCAATATCACACAATATTGACACTTTCAAACTTATTTTGGTGGTCATTTTGAAATTGTAAGATAAATTGTATGCAAAAATGTGACAGGAAAACTTGTTCTTTTCTACTGACTAAAGATTTCCAGGTTAGAATAAAAGTTCTGGAAAAAAACAAAAACAACACCATACCTTCCATAGATGGTCTGTAAAGTCCATATCTTTTCTCTCCTCAAACAGCTCAGAGTCAAGCCCTGCATTGTCATCATTCTCCTGAGTTGTCTCCCCTAGTCTGTATTCAACTATATCATGACCCAGCTTCAACTTTAAATTAAAAACACAATTATCAAAATTGAAATATAAAGACATAATTCACCTAGTCTACATGTGTAGTATTAAGTACAAATTTAAAGATTTTAGCTTTGTTTTTGAAGATGATTACATTAAATGCTAAATAAATGTTACTGTACAAATGTATTTGATATGTGAACCACTTGTTGAACTCAACACAAGAAGACTAAAATATCCTATCTTAACAACTTGATTTCAAGGTTTGTGCTCACTATTCTTCGTACAATTTACCAGACACAAATGATACATCCATTTTACTTACGCCGGATTAATGTCATCTAGGTTAAATTTAACAAGAATGCTTCCATAGGACTCAGAATCTCTCTCATTCCACTGTTTCGTCAGTCTGCTTATGGACAGCATGACAGTGGGACAGGTAAGCACAAAACTAAATTCCACCATTAGTTGGGGCACAACAAGTAAACTTCATTAAAACCTGATGAAAAGCCATGAAATTATCAATAATCATATACAAACTGTTACACAAATATGTACCTGTTCAACCAGATCCTTGACAGTGTCTACAAGAGGGCGTTCTTGTGTTCCAATCCAATTCACTTGTGTTGTGGCCAGGCCTTCTACCACTGACCGTAGAATTTCAAGTTCCTGGAAAGAATAATGTAAAACATTTCTTTTTATTTACTCAAACAAAGAATTACTATTACATTTTTTTCTTCTTCTCGATAAATTCATAATTTTAACCTTATTTACCTTTACTAATAATATTTAAATACTTTAAATTGTTTGATAAATGTCAACTTTGGCATTAAAAATGTTATAAAACATTAAAACAAAACAACAATGTAAACTTTTTGTGTTAAAATGTACGTGTATATTGTACTTTTGGTTGTATTTTATATACATGTACTGTTAGCACCAGGGGTGTTGGTGGAGTTAATTACATGCATTAAGTTAAAACAAAAGATGTTAAATCACTCAAAGCATTGGAATCAAGGCCCATCTTGCTGAAATGACTTCCTTTGAATTCTAAACTTTGAGGCTTTGCGACATCAAATCCTACTTAATAAATAAAATAGAATGACCAAAACAATAATTATGGCCACACTGCATGATATGCAGACTGGCCTAGCTCAACACTAGTGCCATAGACCATTGCTGCTAACACTGTAAGCCTTACATTTATTAAAAGAACTTCACCATTTATGACATGTGTACTAATAGTCTAATAATATTATGGTGTTTTACCATTGAAGAAATTGGGAATTTATAAAAATCTTAAATAATAGATATACACAAATTAATTCAATCCATTCAAAATCAAAATCTCATCAATTTTGTATGGATATAATAATTATTGCTTCCTGAGATCAAGGTCTTGGTGACCATAAATGTTGAAATCAAAATCAATATTGGTCATCTACTACTTATGTCCAACCTTCCAACGAGATAAACTATGTTATTTATAATTTTGTAGGCCAAAGTTTTCATTTGTTACATGTATCTATCAAACAAGACTTTTGTCCAGTGACCTTGACCTTTGACCGGTTTAATCTCAAAATCTAGAAGTGGTCACCTACTAGTTGTGGCCAACCTACCCACCAAATCTATGTACTACTGTAGACTGAAGCATTTTCTAGTTATTGGTAAGTCTAGGCCTGCTCTACAGGCTGAACAACGAAGTGGAAAGCAATATACCTCAACTTCTTGAAAGAGGGGCATAAAAAATATAATTCATAAACAACAAATTACCTGAAAGACAGAAAATGCCGGACTTCGAGTGTTCCCAGAAGTCACCTGTATTTTCACTTCAGCTTTTGCTTCTGAAGGTGGATCGTGCAACAGAACAAGAGATTTGCCAACATTCTTCCTCCACTCATGCTCAAGTCTCAGAAAACCCTGCAAATCAGGCTGAATCTGTTCCCCGCCACTTGATAAGATATCATACTTTGCCTTACATGAAATATCAGATGTAGCAAATTTTGGGTGAAGTTTCGCATGTTTCGACTTTTCTTCTCCTGGTTTTGAGAGAGTTTCAGTGACCTTGACTCCAAGAAAATTGTTTTGCTTATCAAGAAGTGGTTTAAGGACCATTGTTGACACAGATTTCATATTTTCACCATCACACAACACAACCAGTGAAGGAATATTTTCGACTTTTTCAGTGGAAACCTCGTTTCTGTATGAGCTGTACAAGTTTGAATACAGTGATATCAACTTTCTGCACTTTGACAATGTCAGTCCAAAGTCCACAACAGCTTGCTTGGTAACTGGTAACGTAGTGTCATTATCAATTAAAGATAAATCAGCAATTATGTCTAACTTTAAAGGTGACCCACACATGCTGTTCTGATCTTCACTTGAAGAATTTTTACTACTCTTCCTACGAATTCTCATTGGTTCAAAACTTTTATCATTGTTATCATGCTTTTCAATTGCTTTCCAAAAGGAATCTGATTTGCAGGCTAACACTACTGGGAAATCTGATCCAGTTATTTCTAAAAGACGAGTGAATCTTTCAGAATCTATAGGTGATTGTTCTGTTACATAAGTGAGAATAATGCCGTCAAGAAACTTTTCTTTTGGTAATCCACTGTCAGATGACTGAAGCTTGAGCAACTTCTGTTCAAGTTCTTGAAATGACCCTTGATCCATGATGGTCACTTATAGCTATCACTGACTGACACTTACCTGTAAAAAATATATATACATAAATTTTTTTTTTTTTAAATCAAACAAAGAAAAACTTAAGGTCAAACATAGTGTTTTTGGTTCCCAATCAAATTTACATTCAAGTGTTCAGTTAAAAGAAACGAAGTGTGTAGAAATAATTATGTGTAGTAAAAATCTGTCCATGGGTTTGATAAATTTATGGTCATAATAGTGAAATGCATTAAAAATTCTGTCTTGATCAAATAAATTAGAGGTTATGGGCTTGTTATGGTTTAAGCTTTGCCAGGAAGGAAAATATCTCAAAGCAATGCCATATTTATAGGACTAATCTGTCTCTGGATTCTCTTTTAAATTTAACTGGTGTGGTAACTACAATCAAGTTACCAGTTCTAGTACAGGACCAGTTCCTTCAATGCCGTTTTCATTGAAATATTTCTGACATTTGATTTTTTTTGCTGATGATAATGACTGCAATGTGTGTCTAACCATCTGTTGGCAGATCATTTTCTAATGAGTTGCCGGTTTTCAAGACAAACAACATTGAATGAGTCCGAACATGTCCTATGCCGAACTGAATTCTATGACATTTGCCCCACAAACAGTTGTGCCCTGGACTTTTGCCCCCTTTTACTGCAGTGGCGGACATTTGCCCCCTTGTATGTTTTGAAAGGGCGGACATTTGCCCCCTAAAACATTTGCCCACCTAATTTAATAAGTTAGTTTAGTTATCTTAAATTTAATAAGTGTCAGTCTTAATACATTTGTTAGATCATTTTTTTTATACTTAACAATGGAAACATTATATTTACTTTATTTTTGGATGTTATTTTTTCTCACAAATTTGCATGATTGTTATTGCGTATTTAAGCAAAATGGAATTTTGACAATCTGCGATGAATTTTCGTAACAATTTAACATTTTTAAAACATGTGGATGAATGTTCGCCCTTCAAAAATTTGTGGGGCAAATGTCTGCCCCGAATTGAAAGATGAGGGCGCAAATGTCCGGATACCACAAAACTGGATCACTGACAGTAGTTATGACAAACATGAACTTACTGCGGAGTCTTATTTGCAAAACTACAAATTATTTCTATATTGAGATATGCCACAGAGTGAGAAAAATGTGCAGCCTGACCGGGACTTCAACCCAGGACCCTTGGAACACCGTACTGCAGCTCTACCAACTGAGCCATCCGGCCTCTTACACGCCCTCTTCCCTAAATAGTGAACAGTTCTGAACCGTGACATACTCCCCTGCTATATTGAAATTCGTCCTCGAATTTCACAGAGTTACAGAGCAATGTAAATTAAACTCTGAGCTATATTCAGTCACAGTCCCCCGTTGGGCGCCTTAATTTGGCTTAAAAACGTCAGAGTGAGAAAAATGTGCAGTCTGACTTGGACTCAAACCCGGGACCCTCAGAATACTTTACCGTGGTTCTACCGACTAAGCTATCCGGCTACTAACTTACACATCCTCTCCCCTAAATAGTGAACAGTTCTGAACCATTCAACCGTGACATATATACCTAGGCTACAGGCTACATCCATGATCCAAAAAATGTATGGAACCAAAATCATGAAAATAAACTTAAATTATCTTATCATTAACAGAATTTTCAGAGATCGTGTGGGATTATAAAACAGTATAAAAACTTAAGACACAATAATTATCATGTATTAATTTTTACTTGAACAAATCATAAAGATTTTATACCAGATGATCTTTCTTGTTTTGTGTATTTTTGAAATTTCCGCTTTCTGTCTTTTAAGCGTTTGCATTTGGCAATCTGAGCGTTCATCAACCAAGACTTTGATGCGTGTTTGTAAAGCAAAATGTGATTGGCCAATTGTTTTTTTCCGACTAATCATCTGATCAAATGCAAATTCATCTAGGCTAGTTCTTCAAAATGGCCGACGACAGCAAGTGAGCATGTTTTTTTTTTACTTTTAAGTAGATTTTGATATTTATTTATTTATTTAACATAAATCAAAGGAAATAAAAGTTATACTATTGTATTCAGTCCTCGACGAATTTTCTAGGGTCACACGGCCAGACGAAAATAGTTCAAATCAAAAACACATTACTATATCCTCAAGGTATACTTTATGGAAGTGGCTAGCAGTACGGGCCCGTACGGCTAGCCAAAAGTTCTAGCCGTACGTGAGTCACGTACGACTAGCCAGGACACACTGTATTGTCTAGCCGTACGGCACTTTTCAAATTTAAATAGAAGTCGAAATTATACATATATGTTTTTTCATGACTTTAAGCGAGGATTTTAACCATGAAATAGTAATTGTCTTCGTATATTTACTTTAAATAGAGATTAATCGCCTTGTTGGCTACAGTAAAAGAAGTACGAATATCGATCTTTATCATTTCAAGACATCGAGAAAAAATAGCGTTAGGTCGCAGTTAAATAACATCAATTGAAATAGTTTACAAAATTTTGATAATAATCCTTTTTTGTTTCATAAAGTTTAATTTTCGACACCTTTAAAATGAAAAAAAAAATCAATGTTAGGCTCTGATACTTGCGTCAATTACCGACGGTACTGTATAGAAGTTTGTCCATCATTAAGGAAAGTTTGCATGTTCCGTGAAACGCATTTTAAAATTCTATTGTCAGTCCCTGGGTAGGCTTTATTTAAGGCTTATTAATTGTTTGTGCTTTTATGTTCGATATTTATCTACTGTATTTGAAAATTATACAATTATTTTTGCTTTTCACCGTTTTTTTTTTCAATGTTCTATGTATTTATTTATTTCTTTCACTCCGATCATTATTTATTCGATCCATGTGCTTAATTAACAAAAAACACCTTTCATTCAAATAAAACAACAAATCATAATCATGAGGCACAAAATAACATATGCATGGTCGACTTCTATATAATTTTGAAAAGTGCCGTACGGCTAGACAATACAGCGAGTCCTGGCTAGTCGTACGTGACTCACGTACGGCTAGAACTTTTGGCTAGCCGTACGGGCCCGTACGGCTAGATACTTCCATACTTTATACCGGGAGGTACTTTGTACCGGGAATGTCCAGATATTACAAACAATACTGACATAAAAAATTTCTTTTGTATGCAAGTGTTTTTCACATTAAATTCATACAAAATATAGCATTTTTTGAAGAAAATTCAAAGTTTTAGTAACCCTATTCACATAAATGTATTTTACGTTTAAAAACCAGTAATATTGCTAACAATTTGGACCCAACATGATATTTGAATGTGTGTGCAAATGCTTATCAAATTGTTACCCTTTTACTGTGTGATAACTGATAAATATTGAATAGAACTTTAGTATCATTAACAGTAATGGACCATTTACATATGTTTTTAACTTTTTATTGATTGCTTAAAAGTCATTCCTGGTATTAAGTACTTTAAAACAAAGATGGCTCCCGCTCATATGAGGTTATTAACAGAACTATCTTTTTGATGTATAGTTAAAATTTCTTTTGGATGATTGTTATTTTTATCTAAAAATGGTGCTTTCTACAGAAAATAACTATTTTATCCTAGATTTTTTCTGTATTATATGATGGTGGGCCTTATAAGGCTTACACTCCCGGTAGATAGTACAACCAGGATACTCATATTTACTCCATGTATAATGTATTTTAATATTTACAGGTCTATATCTGTATATAATAGGCTTTATTCAATTTCAATTTATAATACTTTTAATATGTATCGACAAAGTCTGTATACTTATTAAGTTATTTCATTCGAATTTTAACACACTCGGCTACAGAAATCAACCTCATGGCTGGTCCTTCATTGAAAGACATCACATTTTCTTTTTTTTACAGTTTGACGTTTATCGGAAAATGCGAAGTTTTTCAATAAGTGGCTAATTTCCCATAGCACAAATCGACACGCTTCTTGAGTCGATTTGAATTTACCGGTAAATCACAACTTAAATGCTATTTATCTCAAAAAGCTGTGAATTGATTGCATAAAAGACAGAAGCATATTTTCCCAAAAACTGTAAAAATATGCAAAAATTACTCACGATAAGTAGATTATTTATCCATATATTTAAGAAGACACATGAAAGACATATTGTGTTGACCCCCATATTGGAAATTCCCGGTCATGCTGTGATGTCACTCATAAAACAATAGTACGAAATTAGTCTGAACGAAAAAAAATTCTGTTGTGATTTAAGACGCTGACAGGTGCTCGCAGTAAACATTTCAACTAAAAAATATGGTTCCAGTAATCACCACATTGGGTAGTAGACACCAATATGGATGCTGTTTACACGATTTTTACACGGGATTTGTTTAAAATTGTTTAAAATTTGAATAAGTTGTTTTTGAGAAGGAAAATACACATTTGTGGTAGGATTATGATTATTTGTAATATTTTACATGGAAAGTTTGAATGATTGTGCATGTTTATTGTTTTTCATTTTGCTATGGACTTTTAAATAGATATCTTTAGACGTTAAAGCGGATTTGACCCATGTAAAAAGTAGCTTCAAATCCGCGGTTTCGTCTAAAAATTTGGACTACCTCATGGCTAGGTATCAAAATACTGGACGTGTATGATATATAAAACATTGTGGAATGCTGCTGATGTTTTGAAGTGGGGGGCATTAAATGATTTATCATATACATAGATCAAGTTTTTTTATTGGCCATAGGGTCGATTTCCCTAATTTCCTGAGATTGTACTGATTCCTGGCATGTTTTGTTAATTTAAGTGTGGGGCCAAAGGTTTTAGATGCATTGACCTTTTCGAAAACCTAGCTTAACTCTGTTTTTTTTTATGTCGTTACGGATTTAGCTCAGGGGAAATACACCAAATTAAGTGCATAACATAATTACATGATATTTCTAATTTTCTATCATAAGTTTAAGGTGAAAAAATGATGCATACATGCCATAACGTAGTGGATGTCCGTGAAAGTCCCGGAAATAAGGTGTCTGTCCCGGAGGTGTCCCGAAAATGATTTATGTCCCGGTAAAATTTTTTTTTTAAATAATCTACTTTGAAGCAAGAAATTTTACTTTTTTATATAATTTTATTGTCAAGTTTTTATAAACTAGACTAGAACGCTAATAACGAATGATTATCCCCTTACAGCATTGCAATTGTTTGATTGGTATATTTATGTGCCCCTTCCATTAACAAACAATTATCGGCAATAATTTTGATCAATTAAAAGATTAATTGTTTACCATCTGTAGATTTTCCACAGTCTTTCTGGAAAAACTCTGGAAAATAGCCGATTTTCCATGAATTTTCATGAAAACAAGCTTTTTTCCACAGTATTTACAGAGTACTCTGGAACAATTTTCATGGAGAACTCTGGAACTTGACTTTTTCATCAAAGAAATAACCATGAAACACTTCTGGAAACTCTGGAAAGTTAACACTTAGACAATTTTCAAGGAGTTTTACTCTGGAAAACACTTAGTCATTTTTGAGAAAGTTTTGGACTTAGGAAATTTTCATTTGATTGCTGCATTTATGTACACTTCATTTAATACATTAAACTTTAATATTTTTTCTTAAGTTAAAAGCATAAATAATCTTTTTAATATAATACAGTTTTCTGGTTTTAAGACATAATTAAAATAAAGACAATTTAAAATATGGCATTGACACAATTGTAAACTGTTGACCAGATATTTAAAAAAACAGCAAGAACATTTTTTAATGACTTTAATTACTTAGCACTGAGATTGGTCATACATGTATACTAACTGTAATTAAAAGTAGCAGTTGTCAAAACAAAAACTTATAGTTAAACAAAATGAGACCGTTATAAGCCCATCAAGAGCTTAACTGTTTCTTTTTATTGCAAAAAAAACAAACAAAAAAACAACAACAACATGCAACCCCATTGCCACACTTTGGCATTGAAAATGCATTAAGTTATTGTTTCATTTAACTTTCATTATTTTCAAGGTATCTCATATCAAGCCTGATCTGAGTGGTTCATTATTATATATTACCCTAAGTTAGAAAAAATAAATACACAATTAAAGAGAAACAATTTAAATTTAAGAACAAATGTAATTGTTATGCACTTATATTTCTTTATTAATTGATGATAAATTTATTATGTATCTCTATTGAAGTATATATAATTTATATATTCATCCTGTGTAGAAGTAACTTATGCATAGTGATTAATTTCTGGAACATTCAAATCAGCATCAGCCACAATGTAAATATTTATGACCTCTCAAGTGGAACCCACTGGTTTAATAACTACCAAGGTTAAACTCACCTATCTGATATAAGAGAATAAAAAGAGGTAAAGCAGGTTTACAACATACTATATTACACTGTAGCTCTCAAGTAACTTAATACCCTTGCAGAACAAATCACAGGTCAGAACACTCCTTCCAGACAGGTCATTTGAACAGAAGAATTGAAAGATAATGTTTATTAGTGCCTAACTCAATTTACTGCTTAAAAGTTATAACTTGAAATATTATGTTTGAGCATTGGAAATTAGATCAAATGAGTTTAAACTGGACAAATTTACAAAAGTTTTCTGGAAATATGAACTTTTAAACATGTGTATTTCATGATTCAGTTAAAATGGAGGGAACTACATGTATATAACCATTTCTTACAGTAAGTACAAATGTATTTTTATTTTTTAACACTTATTATGTTAGTTTTTTCAAACTTTCTTTGCAAGTATACACTGTTTCAGTGATTGTATTTCTACATACATGTAACTTTTCAATATTAGATAGATTAAGTTAAGAAAATCTTTTTCATTTTTAAATAATGGCGGGAAATTTTAAATCAGAGATAATTATTTTCCATTCAAAATATTGGTGATTGAAACAGATTCCATATAAAGCAATGAATTTCCAAATTCACATTTAATAAAATTGATAATATGCCTTAGTTGTAATTTCTTGTTACTCATGTACATATGTTTATTTTTTCAACATATTAGGTTGCAAACTTTCAAGTCTTGGAGTCACATAAGATGTTTCAACTCAAAGGATGTCAGATGAGGGAAAAGTGATAAATGTACTGTTGAACAGAACTATCCTGGTAATAATTTAGTTTGTTTTGTAAAAAAAAGTTGAAGTAACATGTTTTCATATAAATGCATGCTATTTTCAAAACTCTAAACAAAATTTTGTTCTTCATGTTTAATGCATATATTATTGTTATACTGACCCTCAAACTTTCAGTGGTAATTAAGTACTTGTGAAGGATTAAGTAATTTAAACTGCCATTACATACAGTTGTCATTATATAGATATAGGAAAAGCAGGGAAATAATTGACACAAGTTTATCATAATGTTAATGTTGACCAAAAATAAATTATTTTCATCAAAGCATGGTGTTTACTTGATAACTCTGTGCTGATATTCTGCAAAAATTATTTAATTGAAAGTTTTCCATCTTAACTTTTTTCACCCTTTCATGTTTTTTATCATTTATTATCATGTTTAAACAATACTAATTATATTGACATTGTGCATATAACACAAGTACATGTATTTATATACTATTAATTCATATTTTTCAGTATCCATCGGAGAGGTCACACCACAAGTCAAGAAGATGTTGCATCATGTGAAGACAGTGAAGTGAATAAAACACTCTGACATAGAAATAATTTTGAAATGTGCAAATTACTATAAGTGTTTGAATTCTTGACAAATAGAGTGTTTTTTGGATTTGGTAATAAAAACACAAATGCAAATTAAAGGGTCATTTGATTTTAGTATGCAACCATCATTTCAGTAATGCCAAAATGTTTCAGCATTATTTCAAGGCTAAATGTCATTTTACTCCTGAGATCCTATTAACTGCGGAACTTTTTCCAGAGCGGCTCCGGAACATTTTCCAGAGTAACTCCGGAACATTTTCCAGAGTAACTCCGGAACATTTTTATGTCATTTTAGCAGACCAATTTCCAGAGTTGCTTTGAAAACTCTGGAACATTTTCATGGAAAACTCCGGAAAAGTTTCATGAAAAAAGCTCTGGAAATTCATGGAGAAAGTATATGAAAATTCACGATTTTTTTTTTCAGTTTTCTTTGAACAACTCCGGAAAACTAGTCCGAATTATCCAGAGTTGGCAATTTCCATGAAAATTCCGGAAGTTTTCATGGAAATTCATGGAAAATGTACGGACGGGGACTGTCACTACCCCCTGTGGCTTCCTGAGCGAAGGTGTCATACACTGTAATTAACAACTGGCCAGTATAAATTTAATCCGCATGCAGGCAGTAATTAGTGGTCAAACACTGTGAAAATTACTGCTAAATATGAGGTGATGAAATCTACAAGATTCAGCGAATGTTTCAGGTTAACAACATGGCTGATTGTCCTTACATAACATAGCTTTATTCTATTATGTGACTGATTGAATTTACCAAGCCTAAATACTTTAAAAAGATAGAAAAACTGTTAATAATTATTGACATTTTGTCTTTTGTTTATGGTGTAATTAAATTTGAAAGTTGTAAATACCGGTAATATAGGTTGTATGCCACTATGTAAATTTAAAAAAATACATTTGCTGATCAATGCCCCACCTCCAAATGAAGTGTCCCAGAAATGAGTCTAAAAATTATGGCATGTATGAATGATGTGTTTGAGAATTATCAATATTCCTTTAATATCTGTTGCAAATTTTTCAAAATATGAATTGAAAATAAAAAAAATTAAAACAGTCATAGTCAAAAAAGGCAAAAAACACAGAGTTCATTACTACTCTCCATTAAGGTGAATTCCCCAGAGCTACGCACAGAAAATACCAGAAAACTGTGGTTAGCTAGGTTTTCGAATTCATGAATTCATTTCAAAAAACCTAAAATATGTTATACAAAGTAACATGCGGTATATAATATCTATATATTAAAAAATTTAAAAGTAAGAAAAAAGACAACAGATTTTTTGTTATATTGTAATGGACAAGGTATGAACCAAGTACAAAAATTATGAGTATGCCACTATGCTAGTTCACGGTGTCAAATTTTTTCACAGGGTGGAGATATCATAGGATCTTTATTTACAAATACACATCAATAAATCTGGTAAATCTGCTTTCATTTAAATGTATAATAAATATTATTTCAAAATTGAATAATTAAAAAGAAAATAATGCATTTTATTTATTTTAATAAGGTTATATTGGCTGAATTGAACCTTGCCAAGTTTATTAATGGCTAAGATGACTTGATGCCAGACCGTTGGGGGGGGGGGGGGGGGGGGAGAATCGATGCAGAGTGCACTTTTAAAAATCCATGATTTTTAGACCATAATAATAACAATTGTTCTGTTTTTACTTTCAGAACAGCAAGACCATTAGAATATTACAGGAAGTTTATTGTAAGTATTTTTTTTTATAAATTTGATTCTTATATAATATAATAGTGTTTAGCTACCTTTCATAGTCAAACTGTATTAACATATTTGTAATGGAAATTTGTTTAAATTTGTTACATTATAGGTACTATTATCCTAATATTTTATGTCTTAGTGCTAGATGCCCTTGATCTGTTAGTGTGGCCAAAAATTTATGGACTTACTAAAGTTTATGGTTTAGAAATAAAAATATCACAAAGTATAGTTTAGAAATAAAAATATCACAAAGTATAGAATAACTACTGGTGCAGAGATGTAAATTGTATTTTAAAGTACATTGTATTATCAACAAGCAAAAGATTTATTTGAAGTCAAAGCATGGTTAACACTTTGAGTGATGATAGTAACAGCCCTGTCACCAGTATATCATGCTGACTAACCAGACGCCTATGTTCTGGTGGCTCCTTACCACACCCAAATATCTTAAATGGACTTGTCCATCTTTCCATCTCGACAAAACCATTCATTGTAAATGTTTTGAGTTAAAATTTCAAAGTAAGAACTGTCTGAATAGCAAACAGATTGCAGGCTAATCTTGCATGCTGTCTGCAGGCTAAAGGTTAAGTACAGAAATGTGTTTATTTATTCACAATTTTCATTACAGGAAAAAGATGTACGACCAGATGACAGAAATCTAGAGGAATTCAGACCAACAATCTTAAATATAGGTTGTTATACTCTTCATGTTTTTGTGTTGTTTATAGTATACATGTACCCAGAATAGAAAACATTTCATACTTATTATTTTAATCATTACTCCATGACTTGTTTGTCTGTTTGCATATTTAAAGAGTGACTAATTAAATATCAATTATTTGGAATGGTGAATTTTCTGTGTAACAGATTTACTTTATCCATTTTTGTTAATGTTTAACAGTATTGATTGAATTTTTTTGATCGTTTGATTCACGTTATATTCTAATTATATGCATAATTTTATTTTAAGGCTAAGCAAGAATATAATATATATTGTTTTCAATAATTCATTCATTTGTTGCGACTACAGTCATTGTATGTGACATATTAACCTCCGTTAAAATTATTTTTCAACTATTTCAGGATGTGTAGGTACAGCAGAGGGGTCTGCTCTGGTAAAACTAGGCAATACAACAGTTATGTGTGGAATAAAAGCTGTAAGTACTAAGTAATCCATCCATGTAGTCAAACATTGCATTTTATAGTAGTAAATGCCATCAACATGCTTTGCAAACCCACTATTATACAAAGCTGGTATTTGATCAGACAGACAACTTTGTTTTTGTCTGAAAGATATACTAGGTGAACCAGTTTTCATTCTGTGAGTAAATCCGCATATTTAGTTGTTTAATCTAATAATATCTGTCATATTTTGCGGTTCGGATCGAAATATCCGTCCCGAGGTGACCCGCCCATTGGGCGGTAACGAGGCTTGCCGAGTTACCGCCCATGGGCGGGTGACCGAGGGACGGATATTCCGATCCGAACCGCAAACATATGTCAGATATATTTTCTTGCATATTCTACCATATTCCATTATATTTTAAATTCTTTATCTTTCAATGAAAATGTATATCATTACAACAGTAACTACTTTCATTCAACAGCGTATGAATTACCAAATCATTCATAACGGTAAAATGACGTCATCTTTATCGTGCCATTGTATAGCACGCGACTCATCTGGAACCCCCCATGCCAGATGAAATTTCCGGCATGGGTAAAACTAACGGAAACGCCAGTCTGATATGCAAGAAAATATATTCTAGACATCAAGTAGACTACTCATTTAAAGTACATGTTTACAGATCAAGTTTAACATTTACCAGACTTACAATTTGGAGTGAAAGTATTCTTTGCTATGAATGACATGAGTTTTTATCACTAAACTGCTATATCTTTTAAATGGACTTATCCAGCTTTAAAACCAAATGCATATTTATTCACTCAGTTACAGTGCTATATAAACATATAATTAATTAAACTATTTTACACTATGTTTGTATTTTTTTGTTATAGGAAATTGCAGCACCAAAAACAGAACAGCCAAAAAAGGGTTTTATAGGTAAACTGACATACTCTTGTTATTGTAAAACATATATTTATAATGTAATGTTCAAAGATTGTTCTCTTTTATTCAAGAAATACATGTTTCTGAGCTTAAAGAAGAATTAGATCCATTTGTAATCAAATTTTGGATAATTTATATGAAAGACAATGTGTTCAATGGTGAGCTTTTGTGATAACATGATGCTTGTTGCCCTTAGTCTGTTGTTGCCAACAATTTTTCAACAACTAACTTAATATGATAGATTTTGACCAAACTTCACAGGAATAGTCCTTAGGTTATGCATTTGACATGTTGAATTTCCTAGTGGACCTCTAAAAGTTTTATAGATTATGATGTTGATGTCAAAATGACATGCCCAAACAAGACCCAATTTCCTAGAATTATGACCATTTCTTGCAAAAAAATTCTGGTATGATATCTAGGCCCATCATGGCATTCTTGTTAAGGTTTCTTTATGTTGCTGAGATTGAATGTGCCTTTAATAAGAAAGAAATGTGCATTAACATTTAATCTATTGTGACAAGTTATTATTATTTATCATTTATTTCAGTACCTAATGTAGAGTTAGGGCCCCTGTGCTCGGCTATGTTTCGACCAGGACCACCAGGTGACCAAGCCCAAGATCTTAGTAGCTTTATGAATGAAGTTGTTAAGCAGTAAGTTATAATATCTTAAAGGCCCATCATGCCTCAGAAATGCTATCATTTTGTATTTCTCAAAAACTTTTTTTTTTTGTTATCTTGTTACAGTTTCAAAAAAATACTCATTTTCCATATATCTGCTTCTTTTGCTCTGTTGGCAACTGGTATAATTATAGTGAATTAGTATTTATATGGAAGGCATTCAACGCAATTTTCTGCAGTTGTTAAACATCTAACGTGCACAGACTTAAAAGTTAAATTTATTATTTAATACATGTTTGACATTTCTAAAGAATTTGATTAAAAGAAGTGATTTATATGGAAAAGTTGGAAATTTGTTGAGAAATGGTAAGTACTGGAGAATTCCAGGAAGTCATTTTAGTTGAATTATGCACCAATATTTATCTTATACTCATATTAGGGACTGATTACATGAAAAAAAATAACACCTTAAGTTATATACTTAATGGGACTCCAATGACCCACAAGCAGGACTGTAAATATTTTGTTGAGAAGTTTGCACATTTTAATGTAGGCTACTTTTGTGTGCAAGGTTCATTTTGCTTTTCCAGAATGATAAATTTTATTTTGCAAAATGACTCAAAATTTGAAGATCTTTAAACTCAAATCAGCTTAGAATCTCACAAAAATTAAATTTTCACTTTAATTGGAAGTATACCACTTGGTTTTTTTTTGCATATTTTTTCATTCCAAGTGCACCAGTTGATCTAGTTAAGAATTTTTATGCTTTTGGATTTCAGTGGAGCTCCTTAAAAATAAAAAAATAAAACATTTCAGTGTCCTTTGTAAGTTAGGACATTGGTTACAAATGACTTGAGGGTTATTATTTGTATAATTTTTTTCTGTTCCAGTTCATGTTGTATTAACACTGAAGATCTTTGTATTGTTCCAGGAAAGGTAAGAATAAATTACTTTCTTTATATATCTAAGATGTCAAGTACAAATGAATACTTTCTTCTTATATCCAAAGTTCTTATAAAAGATTTTTATGAAAAGTATATAAAAATCCTTTCTTCGTATATCTATTGTTTCTTTAAAAAAAGATTTTACGAAAAGAAAGAAATTAAATTCAATATGCTAAAGAAATTTTCTTATCTACTGTAACTTTACACTTTTCTTTTCCTTGTACAGTTAAATACATGTATAACATTATTCAATAAAGCCATAATTTGTATTTTAAGTAAGTGAATATAATCTGATGAATATACATGTAATAAGTTTTCAAAAATGGCGGGGACTGGTCATGTACCCTAAAATACCTTGGCAACTTATTATCACTTCATTTACAGAACTGCGCACAATACTTCTACCATTATAAAAACCAAAATGAGATTAAAACATACATGTATTATGATAAAATATTATATAAAAACATGTGAGATCTATGTTTTATTATTTCAGTATGTATGGGTGTTGTACTGTGATTTAGTGTGTCTGAATTATGATGGTTATGTCACAGATGCCTGTGTACTAGCTTTACTGGCAGCTTTTAAAACAAGTAAGTAAAACAGCAGGCATGTGGAGATGCTGGTAGTTTTCTCTCCTGATCAGGGTAGTAAGCCACACTGAATTTACTAGAGCATAGTTCGGCCACCACATTGTTCCTGGGCATGCTGTCAGTCAGTTTGACAGTGCTAGTTGCCTTCACTTCTGCAAGGAACTGATAACTTCTGCACATGCCAGAGCAGAGGTACAGTGTGATTGACTGTAGAATTGGATTTCATGATCAATCACAACAAAAGTGACCTGCACTGTCTGGGAATCGAACCCTGGTTGCCCAATTCAGGGTCCAACGTTTCACCTATTATTATTAAACAACTGGCATTGAATTGGTGTTGATATCAATAGCGTTAACAGCTTCCTTTAAAACATCTTGCACACATTCCCAGAATCAAAAAAATTTGTAATATTGGTTTATGGCAAGTAACAATTTGTTTACTTTCACAGAAGGAATAACTAGACTTATATATCCTGCTTGTTTTTCACAAAAACTTGCCTAAATGGGAGTAATCTGTGGAAATATGAAATATATACTAGTAGTGCCTATATACCACCTACCAAGTCTTAACATTTGATACATGTATTTTCAATCTCTGAAAATAAAAAACTCATTTTTTCCTGAAGAAGACAAAATGCAGAAAGCTTAGAAAAGCGTTTGTTTTTATAGAGCTGATTATGAAAAAGCAGAGTTTTATTGAACTGACTATATATACTATTTCTGAAGAAACAGAGTCAAATAGTGGGGTTTTATGTATTTTTTCAGCATGTTTACCAACAGTGACGATGGACGAGGATACAGATAAGTTAGAGACAGATGATAACAAGAAATCTCCCCTCTCTATACAATGTCTACCAGTCTCATCTACATTCACTATATTTGATGAGTAAGATTTCTGTCTTATTATGCTCCCTAAAATTGTATATTTTTGTTGGAGGCCGACCCCTAAGCAAAGAGTTGTTGATTTGTTAAGAGAATATATTTAATTGAATTTATGTCCATGGTTAAGGAAGACTTACAATAACAGAAAACAAAAACAGTTTTTCAAGTAAACAGTTTAATACCAATATACATATGTATTAATGTTTTTAAGCATACTATTTGATCATAAAATGATTACTAACTTTATGAATGGGGCTTAACTTTAGACTGGCAAAAATCACTGGATATCAAATTTGTGACCTTTGTCATTAGAATAGTGCCAGGCAAGCCTGTAAGTGCAGCCTGACTAGGATCTGTAATGTTGGCATCACAAATTTTCATATTTTGGTATTGAAATTTAGATAAATTTATGCTTAAATTTGATATTTGAAAATACTGATAATTGCTAAACAGTCTCTTTTTAAATGTAAAATAAACATCTTTTGAGTACACACAGGGAAGATATGTTATTGTTTTAAACTGTACACAATATAGGTAACCACAGTTTGAATACAGTGTAATTTATAAAAACTCTCAGTTATTTTAAAGAAATAATTAAATGAACTTGACAAGTAATAGGGAACATAGTTTGTGCATTCTGTTAATGAAATTAGATATATTCAGTAAGAATTTTATAAATTTCAATAAATTTCTGCAATAATAGTATTTTATCCTAAAATGAGCATAGACTTCATAGTACATCTTTAACAAGAGACAGAATTGTTTTATGTTACAGGAACATATTACTGGTAGACCCAACTATAGAGGAAGAGGCTCTGTCAACAGGGGAGGTAACTGTGGTAACTACAAATGATGATCAACTTTGTATAATAAGAAAACCAGGTCAGTTACTGTATTGTATAAGCAGATTCTTGTTATTGTTATGTCAGGAATTAATAATGTGAATATTTCATCTTTTCATCAACAGGAAAGTTATCAACATGTCATGGAATTTGTGACTTAAAATCCATGATAATGAAAGTATTATGAATACATTGATTTGTCATTTTATAGTTTAAATATATCAATTTTTAACTGAAATGTGAAACAAATTTTTGCAACTTGTTTTAATCATTTTCTGGTTTGCATTATATCCCTGGAGTTACTCATTTGGTATAAAGCTAGGCTCTCATGCTGTGTAGTTTTGTCTAGATTCTTTGGTGTTGGCTGTTCAAATTACTATATACATGTATTGATATGGAGAACATTTGACAAAGTAAGGCTAAGTCATTATACAAATTGAGCAGTGTAATGATTAAATGTCTTCATAGGACAGAAGTTTTGACATAACTGGAGGTTGTTATTTGTTTTTTTGTTGGTATATGACAATGCTTTGTTACTGAATTTATATGCTTTGATAGGATGTTAATTTGATATTGCATTGCTATTAATGCAGTTTTAAAGATTCATATGATGATTTAAATTTCATGACATGGTTAAATTCCATGAGATGGACTGTGAATTTTGTGACATGTTTCAGGAAATTGGCTGCATTTGTGGCTCACATGAGATGGGCTGCATTTTGTGACATAAAACAATGTTATATAATTTATCATTTTAGGTGGAAGTGCATTATCACCCCAGCAACTAGATTTGTGTATAGAACGAGCATTTCTCCGCAGTAAACAAGTTGTGCGATTAATTCATGAAACTATGAACAGTGTTGATAGATAACATTATGGACTCTCAGATTTGTTGAAAATAAACGTTTTACTGTAAAGATTTGTTTTGTATTTTTGTCCATTTCTTCAATATTTGATGAATATCTTTAAAAAAATGTAGAATCCTATCTCCAGTAGTTCTGACTTTTCTACTAGAAAAAGAAATGCATTTTAAGAGATTTGTGGTGATATAAGGTCATATACATTCGTAGCGATTTTACAGCAGTATATTAGTGGAGGAAGACCTCGGGTGTCCTTTCGTGCATAATTCCAGGCACAAGCCAGAGTAGAACCACCAACCTTCTGTAAAGTAGCTTGATAACTTATATACTTGAATGAATCCAAAAGTCGCTAATTGACTTGTACCAGGCTTAATGTTTGACAAGGATTTGATTCAGTATCTGTTATGTGATGTACATACAGTGTATATAGTTAGTAAAGTACATGTTTTGTCTGTCAGTAACATGCTACTTGTCTTTTAGTGTTGAACTATTTAGGCAATGTTGCATCCATAGAGCACAGGCAAAGATAATATCCAGACTATGCCACGAATATAGAGATAAGCCAGTCTGTTCAGTTGTACCAGCTTTAGACATGCACTACTTTAACTAGTATTGCACTCATTTTGCAATAACTGGTGAATAAACTGAATAACAGAAACTTTTGCAACTACTGGTACTGGATTGCTGTCCCAAGAAGTGGTACTAGTACTGATCCAGTTTATATTGTTTTCTGCTTTATTTATCACTTTAATATCAAAATCCCTACATTTCACAATGGACTTTTCCAAATTCTTAGCAGGACAAGTCCATTATAAAAATTCAGCCAGGTCAGGGGTCAAGACAAATATTTAGTACTGAAATGAAAGAAATGTAACTCATGTTCTATTAAGTTCTAAATTTTATTCTAATAATGTGTTTATTTGAAATGTAATTTAAGTGTATAAATATTCAAGAAATAAATAAATGTATCAAAATCAATTCCAACAGTATCTAATACAAATACAAAATTAATTTTTATTTGAAAAACATTTACAAACAATAAACATATTACATGTATATGGGCATCTACAATGTACATAGATATAAAGTAGTGTATTTTTTTAATTTCAGACTTAAATGCAATTAAATAATACATGTGTCAGACATATAGAACAAAAGTCAAAGATAAAAAGGTGCTATAAAAAATATATTGTTACAAAAATAAACTTAACCACTATGTATAGAATATATTTTTAAAAATGAAAATAAATTTTTAACAAACATAAAAATAATGAGTGCATATATTTATGAAAAGTTGCAAACTTAATACCATTAGCTTTACCACTTTATGTGTATAAAAATTATACATGTACATGTATTATGTATTTATTAATTCATGAATTTCTAAACAAAAAGGAAATGATTTTTTTATTTTGAAATATTGAACCTCTAGTTGATAGATATATGACTTTTTCAATTCATTGCATATATCAGAACATTTAATGCATAAATTTTTTTTTTAGATGATTTAAAGCATAAAACAAGTATCTCAATACAGTTTTGTTTGCAAATTGTTCTTATCCACAAAGTTTTTTGTGTGCTCTTTTCAACTGCCAAAGCCTTTAAAATAAAGAAAGTTTATCATGGCAGCCAACAGAAAATTGGGAAAATTTAACAAATTTTAACCTTATGAAATATTTACTTGTATTTAGATGAAAAACAAATAAACAGTGCTCTTTTCAAATTCATGGTTTTCATTCTTGAGAATATCCAGTGTGTGTTTTCAAAGTGATCCAAGCTTTACATACTCAGTTCTTACATAGACTTACAGAATTTAATTTTAATTTAAGGTTACGTCACAATGTATATTTCCCGCCATCTTTGACATTGATGTCATGTGACGTCACTTCCTGTTTATTCACTGACGAAGAACATACTAGTTCGAAATCGATATGAATAATCAATAATTGAATGTACGTGTGTGGTTGGTGTTATTGGAATCATAGACTTACACAGAAAGTAGAAACATCAATAACAATGTTTTCAATGCATTTCTAAATAAATAAAATTTGAACAAAATAATCTTAATAAATAAAATAGATATCACAGATATTATTATACCCTGTCCTGTTTATATAATAACAGAATAATATACCAATAATGTTAAGTAAAAACAAATATTAAGTAAATAAATATATCAACAATTTATACCCAACTATAGTACACTAGATTATGAGCTTTTTTGTCTGTATAGAAACAAAAATAAACAAATAACAATTGATGCATTATAAATAGCATCACATGTAAAAGAAATATATAGAGGATATTTGTTTAGTTCAGTGTAAGATCGGAATATATTTCACCGAGTGAGCACCAAAAGGTATATTTCACGAGTGGCGCAGCCACGAGTGAAATATGAACTTTTGGTGTTCACAAGGTGAAATATATTTCGGTATTACACTAAACTACTAAACAAATTTTCTTTTTATTATATGCATTGAAACGTTTTAAAAAGACATTAAACCTAATACTGAATGAAAAGCGCGCCAAATAATAATACAACGCGACGTCATTTACGACGTCACATCATTAAGTTGGTACCCAGTACTGTGCACGCTGGTATTTCACTGAAACAAAGTAAGGGGCTTAAATTCAAAACAGTGAAATTATCAAAGTGATAATTTCACTGTTTCAAACAGTGAAATTACCAGTTTTATTTCACTGATATATTTCTATAAACCACCGAAAAGCATGTAATAAATGGTTTAAATAGCACTGTGTGCTATAAATATAATTATATGCTAATAATAGAATAAAATGATATTAATAGAATTATATGTTATTAATAACACCGAGTGAGATATATTAGCACTTCTTAATACAAATAGTAATACAAAGTGTACATGTATGTTCTATAGTACTACATGTTCATAAAAATGTAAAATATGTTTGTTTTGCAACTGTCAGCCGAGGGCCCAAACGCACAAAAGGTCACAGTCTCCTCTCACCAGTTCCAGATCTTAAATATTATGTAGTGATCTATAAGCTGAGCTTTAACAGAAACATGTGATTAATATATATATTATTGAAAATGTGGTTATATAAAATGATTTTAAACTATTTGTGCTTAATCTGAATAAGGTAAACAATTTGGTGATATCACAAGGTATACATATCAAAATTATAATTTCTATTCATATTGCATAAACATTGTGTGGAAATAAACCAAAAGTTTTAGATTATCCTCATCCAGGAAAAAATGTATTTGTTCCATAGGTCCATGCATTGGTCTACGTTATATCATTGCTAAAATACATGTCCATATCATACAAAATTTATGCTGAAAAAAAGTGATTCTCATTAAATATTGAGTAGATATGTCAAGTTCAACATGTACTTTACTGAAGGACACAAGCTTGACTGCCTTGCCTTTCAGGTAGCGGCATACTCGAACTCTGTACGGTCCCCATACCTATCCCTGTTGCTGTCATATTTTGCCGAGGGTTGTGACCCTCGCTGATTGAGCGTTTTGGTTGAACTTTGATTTTCTTGGGTCTAACTCTGTCCAATGGGAACACATCTTCTTTACTGGAATCATTAGATTTTGAACTAACTTTACCAGGTTGTGATTTACTTAAAACGTTTTCTGCTTCATTTCCATCAGTATTTGTTTTATTTACAGTGCTTATCTGTAGCATTGAGTCAAGTTGGACAGAACTTCCTTGAGAAGATGTTCTGCTGTTAGCGGAACTGCTCTCATCTTTTTGACTTCCTTCAGAGTGCAATCTTTTCACATTGCTCCCTCTCATAACGCTACTAAAATTGTTAGAGCTTTGTTTCCGTTGCAGAGATTTCATGTCAGAAACCTGAATACCAAATCCTTTCTGAGAAACCGAGCGAACAGGTTTCCGCATGGCTTTCATCATAGCTTTTGAATCTGAATGCAAGATCATCTTCTTGATTTTGTCTTTTGCACTGTCTTCATTTATGTCTTTAGACTTCTTCCTTTGCTTTGTTTTGGTACCAGAAATTTTCATGACATCCTCCTGAGTTAGGATAACATCTTCTCTTTTCTCTTCAGGTATTATATTGTCCTTGCCTTCCTTATTTTCTTCTTGTACGTCCTCTTTATTATCATCCGTTTTTTTTGGAATATCTTCATTATTTGCTTTTTCTAACTTTGCGTCATTCTTTATTAGGTTTTCTGTTTTTGTAATGTCAACATTATTTGTATCTACATTTGCGTCTTTTTCTTCAGTTTTCAAATCTAAAAGGCAGAAAAGAAACAATATCATTTCAATTTCATGATTTTACTTTAACTCTCAAAGAAAATACCCTTTTCTAGCATAATCTCATGCAATGTTTGATTACATGTCCACTTAGCAATAACTGTTAGAAATCTAAAAGGCAGTTCAGGGTTGATCGACTGAGGACGATCTACTGCCAAAGTATGACCAAAATATTGTGTTAAAATCTACATAAAATCAAGAATAACAAAATTTGAGAATACTGCAAGAAAAGAAGTAATGGCATACTCTTCTTCTCATGGCAATACAATGTGATATACATTCTTATCCTCTACCTGTGCAACTCCGTAAGAAATGGTATTGGACTGTGTGCATACATTTTGATGTGACATTATTTGTGTTAAACATAGCATAAAAGTATGCTAAATGTTATTGTATCATAATTTGGGGATCTTTCTGTTGAAAGTGTGTCAAGAGTTAAATCATATACATATACATGCACAGTGCATTAACTGGAGTGCAGGTATTAGTTACCCGCACTCCAGAGCATGTCCATTGATTGGTTCATTTTTGCTGGGGTTTACTTATTGTGAAGGAAGAGAAAGGGAAAGCGACAAAAATATCATATTTAGATGCTCGTTCATTGGTTACTTTTTCCCGGGGTTTCATATTTTTATTGGGTTCCATATTGTGTCATGACTATGATACAAAGAGAAAGAACACCAAAACACTCGCCAATCTGAATAATACTCGGGGGCTACGCCCTCTCGTACAAATCAGATAGTCTTGTGTTTCAATGCTCTTTCTATTACATGTAACACATTCTGTAGGCGCTTCAATGAAAATATGATTTTTTCTAGTGTAAACAGTTTTTATTTTTGGGTATGTAATAAGTAGAATATATTATTTGTGTAGCTTCATTACTATATTTATTGAACTTCATGAATACAATAATAGGCTTGCATAATTTTATTAAACTTGTTCAATAAATTCAGTATTGAACCTACACTCATTCTTTATCCTATACCATATTTTCATAGCAAAAGCATTTATCAGTCATGGTAACACAAGAAAATAAACTTTACTACACACACCTGGTTTATTTGTTTCTTTCTTATCTTTATCTTCCGGTAACTCTTGTTTGTCTACAATTAAATCATTCACCTTCAATAATGGTTTGTCTTCATTAACATCTGTAAATATAACAACACACATAATTGTAAATTTTTATGTTTTTTATATACACTCAAACATAATACAAAATGTAGAATGATATTTTTATGCTTGTGTATGAAAATATTTACAGATAAATTAATGTTAATTAAGATGAATCAATGACTGTAGTATATGAAAACATTTCAAGAAATTTTACAAAGAATTACTTAAAAATAAGTTTGTTTTTTTTAAATAATAAACTTATATAATTAATAAATCAATTTAATATATTAAGTCCATTGATATTTGTTTAACTTTCTCTTCTAAAAAATTTATACCCAACTCATAAATATAAAATACCACCTCTGCATAGCAACACCTTTTGGAAGACCAACATTTTGGTAACTCAGTAGATGAGATAGAGAGGTTAAACTTATTGTAAAGTCTTATACTGGTTAGTTTTGTTATTGTAGAGGATATTGGTCTACAGAGGGTCACTTTGTTGAGGTTTTGCTGTACTTAAACAATACAAAATACATACCAAATTAACACTGAAAGCCGAGAGATTATATTCATTTACAATAATGTTTCACAATTTTGCTTATTGAATAATGTCTCAGTTCTATCTCATTGTATTTATTTGGTTCCTGAGTATTAACATTTTACTTCTACATTACATTAAGTGATTGATATTGTTGTCTAGTGGTTATAATTTCTCTATTGAGAGTTGCTATATGGAGGCAGGGCTTAGGATTTATCCACAAAAAGATGTGTTTTCCTATACCTCAGTCTGCATGAGGCAAGAGTCTCCCAGGGTAGGGCCAATTTTGACCTGAGGGTCATGATTGATATAACTTTTGTAGAAATCTACAAATTGATGCTACATTTCAAAGCTCTGATTATTGTAGTTTCACACAATAAGACTTAAATATGTTTTCCTACATAAGTCTAAGTAAATTACGTGAATCTTGGGCAGGCCAATATTTTATCACAAGGGATGATGATTGATATCAGTTTTGCAGAGGTTCACAAATTAATGCTACATGGTAAATATCTTGGCTTTTAGCATTGTAGTTTCACAAAATGACTGTGATCTTGACCTGAGAAAAGGAAGGTCAAACCTGCGCTCTGCACATTGTCTCATTACTGTTAACATTTCTGCCAGATAGTTGCAAATTACCTTCCACAGGTTAAAAAGACACAGCCCGAACACGAAACCTGCTCACAGACAGACAAGCTGGTGCGTAACAATATACGCCAAATTTTTTTTGGTCATACAAATTTTTTTGAGCAATGATCATTTTAACCTCGTTAACTTTTTTCCTTCCATCCTATATTTGCCAAAATCTTAAAGATTTGGTAGGGACCAATAATGATGCTGATAATCAGGGGATGGCCAAAGATAGGACCACTATAGTCTTAAAAATTCATCCCTTTTATTTGATCAGATTACAAGATTTTCAATCGTTCAGAAATGTCTATTTACAATGTAATTATAAAAACAAGTGGCTTAAATGTTTTTTTTTTGTAAAATGTCTTGAATCGGAGGTGGTCCTGAAACACTGGTTAAACTGTACATAAATTGATGTCACAGAAGAATTAATAGTTAAAATGATTTTTGAAAGGTACTTGTAATGGTCCAATTCGAGCTCGTATAAACGGATGTAAGGTTATATGACCTGTGATGCTGGGAAATGGTTATACATATGCATAACAAATCTGTTTATACATGACCATATAATCTGTCAAGAATTTATGATACAGCACCCTGTCGATTTTGTTAATAAAAATTAAAACTTATTCATAAATTTACAGTAGCAGGGTAACTACATGTATATAGAATATACCAACATCATAATTATCCAATGAAAATCAAGGTTTAAATGGGCCATATTAATCTTTGGAAGTATTCTTTATCTCAAAATAATATTTTATTTTATGCAACTATACTTTATTGACTGCATGATGACGGAATAAAAAGACAAAATATCTCTTCAGATGTATTCATTTAATAAGTAAAATCTAATAGAAAATAAAGATTGTAACATATTTTGATATACCTATAGCCTGAAAAGAGTGCATAAGGTTGTACAGGACCAATCTATCACAGATAACTAACAATTCATAAAACATGGACAAATTGTGCAGGTCACAATGTTTCTTGTATTATACTTAATTTACAATATCTGAAAACCTGTACAGTTTTTGTGTAACATATATACTAATGTTCCTTACAAAATTTATGTCAGATCTGTAAACTAATTAAAAAAGACAATTACACAAAAAGCATATATTTGCACAATTAATTTACAGAATATAATTATTATTATACAAATACATAGAAAAACTGTGCAGGTTTTGTCTTACATAGTGCTTACACTTAATTTACTGCTTATAGATATATAAACAAGAGCTATGGTGTTATAATATCAAGATATTGATATCAAATTTTTATACAAATGTTCAATTATTTTCCATGTGAAAAAGGGTATAAGTATAGGTTAAAGGTTATATACAGAGTTTTAAGAAATTAATTTTCGAGCGAACTAAGTGAAGCGAGAAAATTAGTTTTTTAAAACTATATATAACCAATTTACAGTTAGCCCGGCCCATTCAAATCGAGCGAATTATGTAAATAGGCAGAGTCCATTAAATCGGCTCATTCAACATATAAAGCTAATACATACAGTTGTGTTACAGCACTGCATGGTTAATATTTCGGCAAAATTTAAACAAAAAAGAGTGATTTCATTAGCAGACAAACTTTGGTGAACTGTAACTAGAAATACTGTTCACTCAGTTATGTCTCTTGTTTATAATTTTATGCCACGTCCTTGTTGGCAAGTATATGCCTAGAATGAGTACAATATTTTGATCATTTTCAAAAAAAAAATATCCAAAATTATTTTCCAAACAAAAAAAAATGAATTATTATTCAAAAAGGAGTATATCTCTAAAACTATAGCAATTAGAATAAAACTAAAGCTATAAGAATAATGCCCTGTTGCCTTAAAACTGTACAATTTCATGGCAAGCAAGCATACCAAGTTTCATGATGATACCTTTTTAATGAAAATGGGCTACATGAAAGATTTTTCACAGCAACAACCACAAAACAACAATAATAACTACAGCTTGTCTTTTTCTTTAAAACAGACAAGCTAACAGGCAGTTTTTTGTTTGTTTTATTTTAAATTGAAATGCATAAAAAAGTTTACAATTTACATGTTTACAGTTGATATGCCAGTTGTTGCAAATGAGGTTCTCCATAACAAAGTGATTCAAACACATGAAAAAACTGACATGAAACAATGGTTATATAGTCAAAATCCAACCATTTTGGAGACATAAAGGTAACAACATATGATGGTATAAAGCCTGGTCAAGTCTGATTAGATGACCTGCATGGCTTTATATTTCTGTGTAATTATCTTGACACAAATGAGTATCAGAAATGTGTATATCGAAAAATTGTTTTATTTTAATATAAATAAAGCGTAAAAATAGTTAACAAACAGACAGACATGTAAATATCTTAATTAGGTAAAACATGTATATATTGAATATAATTAATATCAATATGGTTGAGCAACTTTTAATTTCTTGATTATATTGCGAGCTGAGATTAAAAAAAAGAAAAAAAAGGACAAACAACATGAGGGAAAAAGGGCGTCATGTACTTTTCTTCTTGCATTTGACTAGTCTTTCTAGATATATAGTTTTCAAAATTATGAAATAAAATTTTTGTCTGGGTTTTATTAAGTTCTAAGTTATATGCAAACATAAATGCTAGTGTTATATCATATGATGACCGTTACAGCTGTGGCCTAGTGGTTAAGGTCGTTGACTTCAAACCACTTGCCCCTCACCGCTGTGGGTTTGAATCCCAACAGGGACTTTGGATTCTTTCATGTGAGGAAGCTATCCAGCTAGCTTACGGAACATCGGTGGTTCTACTCAGGTGCCTGTTTGTGCCTGAAATAATGCACGGAAGGGCACCTGAGGTCTTCCTCCACCAGTAAACCTGGAACGTCGCAAAATGACCTATACTGTGTTGGTGTGACGTAAAACCCAAACAAACAAACAAACAGCTGTACCACAAGACTCAAAACTACTGTATATTCTCTTACAAACAAGCCTGGGGGCATTATATTTTCCAAAAGGTGAGCACTTAAATTAAGATTTTTTTTTAAATCATAATCATCAAAATACAAAGAATGTGTTTACAGTTTGTGTTGTATTCTTTTTTGCTGGTTAATATTTACTAAGTAATGATGCCATAAAATATGTGTTAGTTTCCTTGGAATTATAATAAACTGCTATAGTCTTTGTCACCTGATTTTTCTTTTTCCGTGTTTAAGGGGAGGGGTGTTTATTACAGAATGTATGGTGAATAGCATAATTCAAACCTACTACAGCAAATGTTTCATAGAAAGATTAATTACTCAATCATAAATTACCTGATCACAAAAATTACTTGATCACAAAAATCACTTGATCACAAGAATTACTCGATCACAAATTACTAGATCACAAATTACAAGATCACAAAAATTGCTTGATCACAAATTTCTTAATTATAAAAATTACTGCATCACAAAAATTACTGCATCACAAAAATTACTGCATCACAAAAATTACTGCATCACAAAAATACTTGATCACAAAAATTACTGCATCACAAAAATACTTGATCACAATAAATACTTGATCACAAAAATTACTTGATCACAAAATAACTTAATGACAAAAATTACTGCATCACAAAAATTAACCCTTTACCTCAACATTTGTGCCAAGTTTGATTAGTATTGAAGCAGTTTTTATAGTTTTATAGCAATTTGAAGTTGTAACGGGAGACTTTTCAATGAAAACAGCCACATTTCACAAAATGTTCATGAAGTAATGGGTTATTATGCATCACAAAAATTACTGCATCACAAAAATTACTTGATCACAAAAATTTACTGCATCACAAAAATTACATAGCAAAGTTTGTCCATTGGTTAATATTTTTTTTTGTATATATAATATATTC